GGTGAACTTGTTAACACTTTGATTCAATACGCAAATAAAAGTGAATGCGTAATAGTATGTTACAATGAGCAGCAATCAACAATGAGTATATATCCTCACTGATTAAAAAAATCTAACTGGAGGTGCATGAACTATTTGAAACCATAAGGGGTAAGTAAATATGTAATTTCGGCAAATGGGCAACTACGTACCGTACTGAATTAATAACTTCGTAGTATTTGACAAAGGCTGGCTTTCCCACATGTACTTAACAGTGCGATGCCCGGGTGTGATATACAACAATAGTATTCACCTTACCTTTTACCGATTTCTTTTTACCCCAACTTTCAAAAATATCATTAAAATCGACAACAACTGTCAAAGCAGGCACGAACACCATTCGTGCTACGCCTTGAAAGCAGCACACATCCGCTCGTTTTCGTCTCGTCAAGTATGTGCATTGGAGCGTGCTATCGAATACGATCTTCGGACAAAAATGCCGGAGTTGCGCATCATGTTGTTTAATGTCATTGATTAGATGAAATGGGAATTCGGGCATGAAAAGGGCATAAATATGTGACATATTCAATAATATAATTTTGTCCTGTTGATCGGGATATTTGGGTCAGATTACCGTCAAGGGGGGGGGGGCACGGGCTACAGTTACAGTATAGTTCAGCTATGAAACGTCTTATTTTCCAACTACTATTAACTAACTAGTTAAAGTACTAGATACTAATCTGACTTCAAATATAAAAGAATAATATAAGTTACGTGCTCGAACTGGAATAGCTGTTATTAAGATTTTATTATCTCCGACATCAATACGTAGGTATCTAGCTTATTGTTATTGGCAGACAAATAAAGTAACTAAGAATAACAATTGTCTTTGGGAATCGCCTTGAAAATGATAGCACACATTTCATATTACTTTTTAAAATTGCTTTTAAATTTTTTTTATCTTAAACCATTCGTTTTCGCGGAGTGGGATTTTTCTCTGGCTCAATTATTGCGAAACAATTCACATGATGAAAATCCATGTAAAACAAGATAAATCATGTATATTGCTAAAAATCACATGCGAACATGGAAAGAAAACTAAATTAAATTGGCCAGTTTGGTTTAGTCAACTGAACAATAAACGATACTCTCACACGTCCGTACTTGGCAAATATTGTTTTCCTACAGTAATAAATCCCAAAATGAGAATTTATAAAACGAAATAAGCTTGATAGTTCAAGATTGAATTGATCGACCCAATTCTGCAAACGCTGCGCTCATATCTGTACTTTTACTTTTAGCAGACAAGGATGCTGTTAAATGTTATGGGACCAAAAGGAAAATACATTAAAATAAAGGCAGCATGTAATCTTTTTTCATTGTGTAAAGTCAAATAAAGGCGAGGTGCAGGTGATCCGTGAATGTGATTTTTTACAATTTACAATAAATGCGAAATCATAAAAATATACGGAATTCAAGTTTAATTCAGCCAATTGGCCCGTTTTAGACCGAATTGCATGAGGCAGTATATAGCCACCGACTATAGCGTCCTGTGACTAGAGAACAAGTACAAAATTAAAATTCGAATAAATTTCATGTGACCAACCCCATGACTTCACTTTTTCATAAATTGACATTTTCTGACGTCATAATATTATGGCATATTTTATATTTCACACAGCTGTGGCGTCATATTGGACTTTTGTAGAATTATTATGGCGCCGCAAATAGATTTTTACACCAGCAAAAACTACAACATTGTATAAGCAAGTTCATTTAGTAATACCTTGAAATTGAACAAACTAAGAAGCTTATAGCTGTAATGAATCGCCGTAAGATGATTCAAAATCGAAGTGTCGAAAATATTTTATCATCGATGGCCGATGCCCACTTCTTCAAAACGAAAAAAGCATGCAATATTACCTAAATATTACCTCAAGGCTTAAAACCTACAATCGAACATAGTGATTCTAAAAAGGTTAGAGGTCTCTATGCTGGTGCTGGGTAGAAATTTGTTCAAAAAGAACTGTTTTAAAAACAGTTGTTTTGAATCAAGTTTTTTTGCCTGTTTTGTTCAAAATGGCTGTACTATTTGATTTTTCTGTATAAAATATGTTGAAGAAAAATGGATGTAAAAACTTGCCAAGCGCTTCTTATTTGCAATAAATCCTTCAAAACGCCATAAATATCGATAGAGGCTCATACACACCAAGCTGTAGTTCAGTGGTTTGCGGAGTATGACGCAACCGATAAGCCATTACGTTAAATACCCTGCTACGACGAAACCACTTTGCGAAAATTGAAATGCGGTCGAATAAATGAATTTGTATAACTTTGAAAAACTCTATCACTCAACCTTAAAAACAAAGTATGCTAAGCATAAATTAACCGAACAGTATTGACCGTAATAATGCCTTCATTTTATGAGAAAAATGCCAATACATGAACTCGAAATTCATATTATGCGTCATCATAACATATTAGTTGCGGCCTATTTACATCAGAGGTCTTACAATTAGCATAGGCTAGCCTATTGTGTCTCATCATTTATATCGGTAGGTTGCCGCAGATATAAGCATATTCTTCATTATCGCAACCCACTGGTTTTGCCGAAGACTGCCCTTAATTTAATTGCTTTTGTAGTAGGCTCGTGATCTAAGTTTCATGGTTTTCATCATGAATATTTTGATTTTACTCGAAATGTCTCTCTGATATCTCGAATAAACATTTTGGTTAAAATCTTATGACTTTGGTGGAGACACAAACGTGGCAATAAATGTAAGCAATAGAAGTAGGAGTCTAAATAAGTATTTTCACTTACATTTTTGAAATTATAATTCCGGCTGCGTGTGCAGCTGCCAGAATGCAACGTTTCTGCGTAGTTTCGCGGCGATGCAAGAGGTATTTCAATAAAAAAATACAGAAAAAATTTGATTTAAAACAAGCCTTGACTTAGCGGTTCATCAAATATGTTTTATGAGCATCGTAACTATGTCAATATGGTTTTGTATAATTCAACTATGCGTGTTACAGAATCACTTTGTTCGGGATACGCATCTTTGCCGCAGCAGCTGTGATAATAATTGAATATTTCTGACTTAGGTCATACCGGGACTAGGTAAATATTAAATTGATAGCATGATATAAGGTCAAAAATAGCAGAGTACCGGCACGAATGAACACAAATGTCTTCGTAATGTTTAAAGATATAAGTGATTGGTCAGTTTCTACTTTTCTCAATAAAAAGCTTACTGGTATATGTAATGCGTTAAGCCTGTGAACCAAACGCTGTTAGAGAGCAAAAGATGAATTAAAGTTCCAGAAAGAGTTCGTTAAAGAGATGATTTAATAGCTGATGACTACGAGAGAAAATTTCAAGTAGAAATAAGATTTAGTGATGTTCTAGTTAAGTACCACATGGTAATCAGCTAATCCCGAAGTCATTTATTACTCGAATCGGCAGTTATATCGTTACGTTGCGGTGAACACAAGATGAGATATGTATTTTTCCATATTCGAAGAATATATATGTCAAGGTTAGGCTTAGAAGTACTATTTTTGGATGTGAGAAATATACGCTTATGCACGAATATAAAATAGTTCAATGCAAGAATGGGTTTAAGAAGAAATACTTGATTAATTTTCTCGATTATTCTGCTCGACCGCAGTAGGGGAAGGTGGGGCACGTTGGGACATAGGGCACAGTGGAAAATCAGCTTTCACACTAATACTATATTCGGAATTCGGTCCGCGGTTTGATGTTTCAATCCGCCCTTCGGTGAGTTACAACGTCCCCGCAAACGGACAGCGGACGGGTAGAGCGACGCAAGCTATGAGGTGAAATTGGTTTTAGGAGGTCGAAACTAAAATTTCACCGTTCCAGTTTTTTCTTTTTCCTAACTTAGCCTTTTCAACGTGACAAACCACCGTCTGATATCTTTCAGCTATAGTCCACTGTGAAATATTTATAACGTTGGCGAGTGGATGGGCCTTCCGAATTTTGCCGTGGGATGATCTGAAGATATTTGTTGATTATGGGGAACAATGGACCGGGGTTCAGTGGGACATGCCCTACATGGCACAATTCGACAGTGTTTGATACAACAAGTGCTTAGAGACCTAGAAATGTGTTATATTTTTATGTAACATTATGGTATCTTTCGACTCATGGTCCAATATGAAAGATAATCGAGAATCAAAAATATTTCCGGATTTAGATTCGGATTAGAAAATAATTTAATTGGTAAGCGAATTTTTTGGTGAAATATCTGAAATATTTCGGTTGAACATTGATTTTAAAAATCTTAAATCTTCAAAGTTGAGGTCTCCCTGTTCTTTAGACGATTATGCTGATTGATTGCTTATTTTTAAGGGCATACTTCGTTGAATTTTAACAGAATGACCCATTGTGCCCCAGGGTCTGTCCGAATGTGCCCCACAAGTGGGGTACAGTGGGACACTTGGCAAACGTTTTTCAAAGCATTTTGGTGGTAAGATGTGTGTCGCAAGGGAATTTCTTAGTCGCTGAATAAAAACTACATTTAGCCCTCTCTGCATTAATCCCGCAAAGTCATATGAATGTGCAGAATAAAGGGCTCAAAATATGAAAAAGAAAAAAAGTGTCCCAACCTTCCCCACTTTCCCCTACACCCTAACTAACCCGCCCCAGAAGACGAGAGGATTCGAACACAAACCCCTCTTGGGCTTTTAATAGTCTGTCGCTTTTAGAATTTCAAAATAATATTTGGGCACAAATTAAAAATGAAACTTGAGCATTATACTTTGCGTTGTCGAGTGAATCAAAATTGTCGATAAATTTTCCGTTTGCAACAAAGATTCTGTTGTAATTCACTACTTAGGCTCAAGTTGAGCCGAGAGACGAGTCTATGTCACGTAGCGGCTTGCTACATCTCGGTAAACCTATTGTCTCCGTGCGTATAAGTAAGTAGCACCTTGAAATAAGTGTGAAGTGCTGTATAAATAGTTAAATACAGATCATTCGTTTACTCTGGTTCAAAATCTGGTATTCTTTTCTTGATCTAAAACAGTATAAATTTGCGTACATGCTACAGAATGGGAGCAGACGATGTCTTGCTACAACTTGGTGAATTCGGACCTTATCAAAAGAGGCTCCTCACTTCCATCGTGTTATTTTCGATTGTCAATGCTTGGGGTCCACTTACTGTGATATTTACTCATTACAATCCCGACTTCACGTGCAAGAATTCCGTGGCATCTCCAGAATATAACGTTATCATCTCAAAGGTGAATATTCATTGTTTTTGAATGTGTGACGACCCTTGTTTTGCCTGTTGAATGACGTCATGTGATATCTTTTCCATATTTGGTATTCTAGCAGTTTAGACGCTGCGACACGGTCGATCGGTTCTCTGGGGCAGCGTGGTCTGTTGGTGTATGGTGTGCGACAGAGGGCAGTCGTCTGAGTGTTTCGGTTTGATTGGTGGGTTTTGAATGTCTGTGTGAATGCCTCTGGTCTTCAGGGATGTTTGTCTGTGTTGTGTGAGCTCAGGGATGGCCAAAACCGAATAGTTCACTATTTAGAATACATTCGAAATTATTTTTTTCGAATATGAAATTTCGAATACTTCGAAAATAAAATCCATTAATTGAAGCTTATCTAAATGTATGTAGGAATTCCCATACAATAAGCGATGGAATACTTACTATCTACAAGTTACAACCTAGCTATATTACCAGGCATTTCATATTTGCAGATTATTGCAGTATATATTTTATATACCATGAGTCATGTTAACAGAATACGGCAATAGTGGTATCGATGATGGATTTGAATATTTGCGCAACACAAAATCATCCTAGTAAAACGCCCATATTTTTAAATACCCACCATTATTTTCCAAAAAGCGGGATAAAGTATGAGTTATTTTTCCGACTTGTGACAATTTTTTCGTGAGTACAAAAATACGAATCAAAAATTAATTATATTCGGGAACTTTACCACACATTTTAAGTCCGAAGATCGCCGTTGTATGTTTGAGTAAAATTACTTTTATTATTTTATAGATATTAAAATAGGAATCAAAAACTATTTATAATCGGGTAGTTTACAACACATTATAAGTCCACAGATCGCCGTTGTATTTTGTAAATACGAAAATAGGAATCAAAAATTAATATTAATCGCGAGTTTGCTACACAATTTATGTCCACAGATTGCCGTGATATTGTGCCGAATATAATTAGTTTTTGATTCTCATGTTCGTACTCACGAAAAATTGTCACAAGTCGGAAAAAGAATTTATATTTTATCCCGTTCTTGGGAACTAATTTGGATAATGGTTGCCATTGGTTTGTATTTAAAAGTATGGACTTTTTACTAGGATGATTTTGTGCTGCGCAAAACATTCGAATCCATACCACTATTTAAAATGCCTTACCGTGTTAATTTATTTCTATTATCATAACTCAAATGTTGGTAAATCGGGCAGTTTACCACAAATTTTAAGGTCACAGATCGCCGTTGCATTTTAGAATTATAATAGTTTAATTATTTTGTAAATACGAATCCGAAATTATAGTTGGGCAGTTTACCACGTATTTCATGTCCACAAATACCCGTAGTATTTGGTATTAATACTTTCATTATTTTATCAATATAAAAATAGGAATCAATATTTAATAAAATCGGTCAGTTTACCACACATTTTATGTCCACAGATTGTCGATACAACCATGAGTTACGTTGAACAGATTTAAATTAATACGGCATGACATTTTAAATGCTGGTACCAGTCATGGATTGGATTATTTTGTAAAGCGGCAATCATTTTGGACAACCTATTAACCAGAATGTTGAAATAATTTTGGAATGTGATAAGTAATACACTGTACGTCCACGGGTTATTTCACAGCTGTGTTTTTCTGTCGTGTTCTGCTGAATCGGCAAAATGAAAGGGTCACAAATCACTTTATCTCCGTGGCCTAGAAAAGCGACTTATTAGCCGGGAAATACAGTAAATGTCAATTTTTCGACGTAATGGAAATGAATTTGTAAATTAGAAGCCTTGTAGACGAATGTCGGCAATGTCCACCCACGCAAACGTGCAAATGTGTCGCAACACTATGCGACGTACGGTCGCACAGAATATATACAATCAAAGTGCCGATTCTAATTCATCGTCATTACAATACGCGAGACAGCGTAAAAATCCGTTTGAAGATTCCCGTAAAACGAAACACCACGTTTACGGCGAAAAGTGGCTACTATTCGGAATTATTCGAAAATCAGCCGAAAAGGTATTCGAATACTTTGATATTCGAATACATTCGAATATTCGATTCGTTTTGGACAACCCTGTTACAGTGTGACTGTCGGATGTTTTGTGCTGGACAGTGGGCTGACGTAGGGACCATGTTATTGTTTTTACCAGTACAGTGCCATTACAGTTCATTTACCGTAGTGTTGTATTTTCAGTTTTATCGTGGAATTAGCTTTCATCAGTATTGTTCAAATGTTGTGCACCTATAGAATTGTTCATAGTCTTTTTAAATGCCTGTCATAAGTTACTTTCGGCCTGTTTTGCAAATTGCAGTAGCTAGTTCATTGTACCAGATTCTAGGGGTCATTTGGTTTTTTATTCAGAGTTATCTTGGATTTCAGGGTTGGTCAGTGTTTTTGTTGTGTATGTGGTCTTTCTTGCATTTTACTGCCTGGTATCTGTTATTTTTATTTTATGCTTTTCGTTCCTTTGGGGGAGTGTTTGGTTGTTTTGGATCGTTTACTGTTCGAGTTGTTAATAAATGACATAAAATAGCATAAAGACTTGGAGTATTGAGAGAAAACTTGACGTCAGATCATATTAGAAGATATTCTGAACCTGGATAATTATTTCATACATTGCCGGTACGCTACAAATGCATGGCTAGCTAGATTTATGAGGCCGGAGTCATAATTATTATATATCCGGAGGTCGGAATGAAATTATCTCTGACTTCGGAGTCGACTCTATCGCGCCTATGAAAAGAAATCTTAATTCTAAATGTTGTTAACATGCTAATTTAATACTTTATAAACTTGTAATTAACTTTTCAGCCTTCATCGACAAACCATACAGACTTGGGAAATGCAACTGCAATCGTAAGCGATGATCAATGCGAAATCGTCCCGGCGGGAGCAGTAAATGGGACACCAGAATATGAACCAGTTCCGTGTTCTGAGTGGATATTTGAACCCGAAAATGACGGGGGTGAAACTGTTACAAGCGAAGTAAGAACTCATAGTGGAGCGACAAATTGTAATGTGGGTGCAATGGATTGAAACTCCCGGAAATTGTCATTATGATACTTGAAAGTATCAAAAAATTGCGCGAATCAAATTAAAATTTGAACTGTAGAACTTGAAATTTGAGGTAGGAGTCTTGCATAATTGTTGCTTTCAAGCCGGAGTCATACTACCAAGATTTGGGGCCCAAAAATTTGTCATTTGAGAGTCGAAGCCAAATTGAAACTTTTCCGAATCCACAGTCCTATTCCGGTTGACATCGAATCTCTCGTCGGATATTGCTTGATATACTAGTACAGTGACACGTTAATATTTAAGCACTGTTTCCAAACAGATGTCGTTAGTATGTTCGCGTGCTTGGCTTCTCCCGTTTTCAATATCAATGACAATGATTGGAAGATCCATCGGCAATATTGTGTGCGGCGTTCTGTCTGACAGGTATGCATGAAATTAACCAAAGCATGTAAAATTATTCACGAACTTTTCAAATGTTAGTCTTTGAATTTTAGATTTGGACGCAGGACAATGTTTGGGGTCTCATCAGTTCTGGTAACTTTGAGCACGTTGGTAGTAGGTTTGTCGAGGGATGTTTATATATACACCATATTTCTGAGCTTGATGGTGGCTTTATCCAGCGTACAATACAATGTAACATTTGTCATTGGTAAGTACTAAAATCGCAAAACATTGAACATTTTAGCATTAACGATGTACGCTAATTCTATAATCAAAGTCCAATTTGAAACAAATTAAACTGAGTTTCTGATTCCATACGCAGTCCAAATTGGCAATGGGACCATGGTGCCATGGATGCTTGAGAACGGCGCGGCGGTGTGGCTCAACGGGCTAAGCGTTAGGAATACGCTCGCCACCGCACCTCTAATTACTCTGCGTGGGTTCGCAGGTTCGAATCCCATGCAGGGATGGTTATGTGCGAGAGGATTGCTGGACTCCTCGCCGTCGTTGGGTGGTTCACGTAACCGCTGGTCGGTTACGGCTTCCTCCACCACCAAGTCCATGCTTCCGAAAAACAAACAATACAGTAAAAACTAATCCCATACCCGACTTGGAATGGTAACCGGACGAGAGGCCGTGGTTCGCCATATGGATAAGCCGTCTTATCGGCTTTCCTCTCCCCCGGGATAAATATGTAAATCCTATCCTAACAAAATATTTGGAGCTTCTTATCGGCCTTCGGTATAAATATGAAATATCCAGAGCTAAAAATCCATTGTTTTACTTCAATTGAATGCACATACTTGTGAAGAAAAATCATTGTTTCAATTTGAAATTTTTCCCAAACAAAACATGCAATATACTAACATACGATTTCCATGTATTTGAACTTGCGTGAATTCACTATAAACTGAGGCTACTACTCGAATTTTTAATTCAGGATCCGAAATGGTTTTACCGAGGTATCGGAACATAGTGGGTGGGATGGTTATGGTCGGATATATAATCGGATATGCCTCGTTACCTTTAATAGCATATCTCAGCAACGACTGGCATATATTCTTTTACATCATCACTGGAGCATCATCCGTATTTCTTTGGGGTTATTGGTAAATATATTTTCTGAAAAACGCTACTGAAAATCGTGAATTATTCAACTTTTGGTTAAGTATTTGGTAACAAAAATATAGATTAATTCAAGTGCAATTTTTAAGAGTTATTTCATATATGATCTCTAAACCAGGCTCTGTTTTAGCTATCACTTGAACTCGACACTGAGATTTTGTTATAGAACGTTTCTACACGTTTTGAACTTCTAGCACGACTTGGTGCAAGCTTCCGTCGTAACGAGGCTCCAATATTTTGGAAAAATTGGAATATTGTCGTTTAGTATTACTAATCCAACTCATCACACCCTAAATGAGGGCTGTTGGCGTAGGTCGCTCTAAGTTCAACACTGCCATCACAGTTAGGCCACTACCCCCGAAGTTTTAATTTGTTTACCTTATCTTGAATATGCTTTCTAGGACAATGCCAGAAACACTGCACTGGTTGATTACAAAGAAAATGTTCAAAAGAGCAAAATCTCTAATTGCAGAAATTGCTGAGTATAATAAATCTGACGGTAAAATTGATGAAATGATATTGCGGCCACTCAAAGAAGTGAGCATTTTACATTTTATAAAATCTCGAACGACTGATTCGGCTTTTTTTTATCCTCATTGACTGAACTCTAGGCGAGCACGTTTAATGTCGCCAATATTTAGCGCCGGGAAAATTTATTTTCAAGACAGAGGGGGAGTGCTCACTCAAAAACCAGTTATAAAATGGGGATAAACTTCGATAGGAAAACCAAATTATATATGTCTCAACATACTATATTCCGCCAATTTAATATCCACTGAAATTCAGTAGAAAAACTCCCTCTGCATATATACATATTTATATATGCAGTTAAAGGTAAATGAAAACAATGAAATGAAGGAGAGGGAAAACACGGTCGAAAAAGTTGAGCATACTACAGTGTTACAATTGATAAAACACCCTCTGATGCGATCAAGATTTCTAGCAGCAAGTTTTTCATGGTAAGCAATATACTATTACTGTATTAAGATATTGTCCCTTTCTTGGAGGATCAGTAATAAAAAGTAATTGGATCGCGTCAATGGGTATCGCAGAGGTTTAATGAGCTATATTATGAATAATTATAATATGTCATAAGAAACAGATTGATATTATAACGAGAATATCGGTCAGAGACCGAAGACTTATCGATCGAAAGTTAGGGGATCCCCCAAAACAGAAACTGCGGTTTCGATTCGAAAAATTCTGCAAACCCGAACTGGATTGTTTTGATTAGTTTTCAGCCAATATCAGAAATGTAGGAAACAATAGCCAACTCCCCATGTCGTCGAAATACTACTCGAGGAAATACTTTTATGAAGAATTCTGCAAATCCGAACTGGATTGTTTCGATTAGTTTCCAGCCAATAGCCTATTTATGTATTTACCAATCCTATAGTTTGTGTCAAATACAACGCTAACCCAGGTTGCGACGGCTATTCAAACACAGCCTAGCGATATTTTGGTCAGGAATTCTGCAACCCCGAACCTGATTTAGGGATATGGACATTGCTTAAACTTTAAGGAGTATTATTATAAGTAACGAGATACGATCTCGCGGCGTGTATCCTTCGCTCTGACTCAATAGTATGGAAAATTTCTCGAAGAAAACTTGCGCATCGCGACGACGTCAAAGTTACAAGAGAGATATGGATAAGGCTCAAAGATTAATCACGAGATACGATCTAGCGGTGTGTACCCTTCGCTCTGACTCACTAGCGTGAAAACTTGCGCATCTGATACGCACACACACATTCAGCGCGTCTCGAAAATCTCTCGATTTGTGAAAATCCAGATCTCTTCATCACTAATTAATTACCGTATTTCTCGGCGGATAAGTCGCTTTTCTAGACCCAAATTTTTGGCCTGATTTTGGGGGAGTCGTCTTATTAGGCGAGTATGATAATTTTCATTTTTTTGGTGTCGCCTTATTATTCAATGCGGATCATAAAATACCTTCGGCGATAACATCCCCCACGTAAACATCAGGTTAGTTTAAATAAATCGGCATTCTCGCGGTGTGAATCTGGAATTTCAATGCTGTGATTATCATATTTGAAGTTGCAGCATTTGCATCACGAGTGAAGGGCTATTATCGATACAAGTGGGATTGCAATTTGTAGAAATTGTCAATTGTTTTTATCAGCGTGATGTCTCATTTGAACCGTACACATATCTCATTTCAGCATTTATTCTCAGATATGCTTTTAAATTGCAAAAATACAAATCAAAACAACATATAACCGTACATGTTTATATCCAAGGATTGTGTTGGTAATTTGGAGCAGTGATATATACTATTTATATTGTCGCAATCGTAGATTAAATTGATCACAATTAAATCAATGAAGCAACACATTTTGTTTTGTGTAGATTTCAAAGTGATGAATATGTATTTTTCATATATACACTTTATAGGTATATTTATTTATAAAAACTCAATAGAATCAGGTAGTTTATCTCACATTATTATGTCCGCCCTGTTATTTTAGATCGGTAATGTTCCTATATGGTGGACGCAATCGCGAGTTACGTTGAACAGAATTAGATTGAAATTGAATGACAGTTTGAATTCCGGTAGTTGTTATGGATTAAATATTACGCTACAAGAAAATGTCATTATAGGCTATTTTAACCAGTGCGAAAACGCACCGACCGCTCAAAAGCCTTGGCTGGTAATTTGAGATTTTGATGTTGATGCGATTTTACTACCCCGTCTTATTGGCAGGTTATATTCAAAAGCCCATTTTTCAGGCTTAAAAACGGGCCTCGTCTTATTTATCGGGTAGACTTATTCGCCGGAAAATACGGTAATAACTCGCTAATTATACGACATAATTCATCCAAAATCAATAGGCTTCTGGTCCGAGATATGATGAATGTACATGCAAAATTTGGAGCAGATTCAACCACGCCTTCGTGAGATATCGCGTGCATCTAACAGACACACAGACAGACATACATACAGACAAATACCTATCAATATACTTACCGATCTTAAGATCGATAAGTAATAATGGAATGTACTTTGAAATGCAGTTAACAGTCCGCGCTATGTCAGCGTAAGCTTTTTTGTTTATGAGATTGCTCCATTGTTTTTTGTTAGTAGTATTTATTAATCGAGCTCACCACACTGCGAAAGTCTCGATGAAATCGATTGATCAAATTCTATAGACAGTGCCGATGAAACACGACGCTTATACGCTATGCTACTATACTAATGGGATCGCAAAGTATCGTGTCCACACTTGACCTGTCAAAGCATTATACCTATGTTAACCCAGAACAGAATGGGGACTTCATTCCAATTGCTTACTTTAACCATACCTTTTTGCGATACCGCTTGCATTTGTACTGTTGGAATCCATTGCCACAAATGCGAATTGTTCCAGTGATATCTACTTTCATGCCCGGCTACCCAAGAAACAAGAGAGCAATGATACTCGGACAATAGTGTTCCCATGCGTTATAAAAGTGTTCCCATGTATTTGAATAGAAAAAAAAATTGAGTGAAATAACGGGCTTAGTAGGACTTGAAGGAGTCTTGACAAAAGTAATAGTTCTTTTAGGACTTTAGCCATCGCTATGTGCTAAAAAATTGAAATCCTCAGTTCCATGAGGTGCGACACAACAAGGGAGCAACGCTCAAATATATGGACACGTGGACCAGAGCGAAGCAGTCCTTACCTTTAACGTTACCGGTACCGTACCCTTAAAAAACTTCCGAGTTTTCAGTCGCAAGAATTTCCACAGTCTCCCGTCACGCTTAGCGGATTAAAAACCGTGTTCCCATAATTAAAAAGTAATACAGCGCAATTTTGGATGAAATATCAGATCTAAAATTCATAGAAAATTTAGGAATAAATAAAAGTAATCGTTTTCTGGCAAAAAAATCAATTTTTAAACACTGAAAATTTCAAAGAAATTGGTCTAGTATTTGAAGAGAAAAGCGATTTTTTAATGATAATGATGACGAAAAACAACAACAACATAATATTGAAACGATCGTTATTGAAACGAAGTCAGCCAAACGACCATCCACATAATATATACATTTCGTGTTCAGTGACTACAAACTTGCTTCACATACCTTTGCAGGTTCGTTGCCAGTTTTGTGTACTACGCCATCACTCTCAATTCAAGTTACCTTCCAGGAAATCGTTACATAAATTGCTTGGCATCAGCATTGTTGGAGATTCCAAGCACGCTTCTGGCCTATATTCTTCTAGATAAAATTGGAAGAGTGAAAACATCCTCAATATTTTTCTTTACTTCTGGAATTGCTTGTATTATTGCACCTTTACTGGCAACATGTAAGTAATGGAGTAAGAAATTGGCCACACCATTAAGTATTGCAATTATCGCTCTGTGAATGCCGATATTTTGCAACTTATCCACCTGCTGACGATTTGCAATTTCGTTTTAAGCGCTGTTTCCTTTCTAGGGTCAAATGTAGCAGTCTCAGTAATGATTATAGCTGGAAAGACGGCAGTCAGTGGAGCATATTATGTAATCTTTATTCACACTCCTGAACTTGCACCAACTCTCAGTCGGAATTTGTTCATAGGAGTTTGCAACGCATTCGCTTACGCAGGATCGTTTTTATCACCTTACGTTATGTACATAGGTAAGAAAATTGTGTCCACGCTCAGAAACATTCGATTCTAATGACTGTCGAAACGACTTATGGTTACGCCAATGTTATGAGCATGCCCCCATTCGCCATTAGGCAAGGTAGGCTGAATCCGATGCCGGATTTTCCATTAGGCAGGGTAGGCTGAAGCCCAGGGGTTTCGGTATTCACTTTTGAACTATTTTTGTTTTTCAATTTTGAAGGCTTGTTCCAGAATAAAATTCGTTCAAGTTTTCCAAAAGTTTGTAAAGCAGATATTTCTTCAAGTTTCTAATCAGGTCAATGAGAATATATACATTCCTATTGATTCTTGTCCCAAATATTTATCGCTCAAAATAATATTAAAATGTAACACGGTATAATAAATGAATTGTTTGAATCTATCCCTTTACCTTAATAATTAAATGAGCTAATATAATTTAATTGGACAGTTTTCACCCTAACGCATTTACTTTTTACAAAAAGAACGAGAATATCGATAATAATTGGGGCAACAACTAATCTACAGTGTATTATCATTTTTCACTGGTTTCAGATCTTTTTTTTTATCGTAAACACGTTCATTTCAAAAAATCAAATAATATTTTTAAATATCAGATCCCCCAAATAGGTATTATCATTTTATAACAAACTTGAGATTCCTGAAGTGTTATTGAATTCAATTCGCTATCCAATCTAATTGACTGACTGGCGTACGTGTCTGGCCTGCAACAAAAACTTCATATTGTTTATACAAATTAAAAATTGATTTATGTATACCGATGTATATGTTATGTATATATTATGTATCCAATTTTAAAAGTGAAATTTGAAAAAGATTCCAAACATATATACGTTTTCGTTGGTATCCCAGAGTCAAAAATATAATCGTTTTGTTAATAAAACCTGATTACAAAGTGCAATCCGCCTAACGTAGCCTAATTCCTGTTTTGCCACAGGGACCAATATGGGCATGGAAACCGTATCGTACGTTCTGATGGGAGGGATGGGCGTGGTTGCATCCGTATTAATACTCTTATTTTCACCGGAAACGATGGGAACCCGTTTACCAAGCACCATCGAAGATGCAGCCACTCAAAAAACGTAAGAACTTGTTATTTTTACGCTAGATAATCCTTCAAGTCATAGAGAAAATCAGACCTCGACCAGTCGACCATTCAATTAACCAGTCTACTATAAAAATAGCATCTGCATTCCCAATTACCTTAATATTTACGGAATGGCTTTGAAGCACTGCATTTGTGCCAAACATTCATCCTAACACTTTCAAGATAAGACGGTTTTAATATTATGAAGAAGGCTAGTTGGCCTGACAAGTATCTCTCTAATCTGCTCGAAATATTGGGAGCACTGATTGATCCGCGTCCTCTGCTAGATAGGCCATAGCTGGCAAATTGGTGGTTCATTCAAAGTTTATTCTTCACCACTGATATATAATCTTAAAAATGATGCAGTTCGCGTTGCTTCTTCTCAGATACGACTCAACGAGGAGTAATAATAACGACCAACTCACCGGGTTTATATTTCAGCGTTATAAAAGGTTGCTGTCGGCGCCGAAATGAAACTACTAAACCAGCAAGCGAAGAAGAGATTTTTGCTTAAGAATAATACACAATTGAACGACACTGAAGGAATGACAAAAATATCACTTTTCTAGCCACTGGGACCACTGCACCTGTTGGAATGGTGGTCGTTCGTGGAAATTCGATATTAATGTTGGAAGCACTGGAACGGATACGATGATTCTAAATTGAACTAATCGAAAACGACAAAAGAACCCAATACCCCAATCCACGATTTGTGCATAGACTGCTATGGAACATTCAATCTATTTACCGAGCTTGTTTTTAGTAACAATTTGTCAGTGTTATTTTTGCAATGAAATTGAACTAGGCCTTCATCATCACCATTTTACGTCAGCGAGTGTTTTTTATTCCATAGTTTTGTAGGAAAAGCACTGTTGTGTTACACATACACGTCTCACATTTTTAAATTAATTTCAAAGTATTGTCCAATTTTATGTGGTGTTGATTTTATATTGTTTTGACTATTTTTGGTGGACGGGAAGGTACTTGTACGTTTTTAACTTTTCTATTAGGTTATGCCCGTCCTCCAGGTCCTCTGTATTTTGTTTGTCCATTTGTTCCTATCAGAGTGATCAAATAAAATCGATTGATTGACAGCCTTTGCATTCAGACCATGGCGTTGAGTAAACAACCTGAACTGCACGATAATCACCAGCGGTACAACTGGAAAACTACCGATTCAACCACGGACAAGTACCTCACAGTAATTTAAGCTTTTATGGCGAATACAACGTTTTTTTATGCAGTACATACCAAACATAGCAATTTTGTTGGAATATGCGAGGATTGCTGCGTAAAGTTGCACTGTCGTCCTACTTCTGGACCACATCGTAACTAACAGAATACTCGCCTGCCATCACCAATCACACAGCTACTAGACATGAATAACATCACCCTCCATCACCGCAACATCTATGCACATTGCACCCTACATTCATACCCATAACAGGAGATATTTGTAACATATTATGGATAATATTCCGGTACAAAAATTTAACGTCTAGTACGTACAATGGCGGAGTACATTGAGAAAAACACACACAAAGCATCAGAAATTTACAATCCAAGAAAAGATTTTGTATCTACATACCCTTTGTTTTGAAATGAGCATGACGTCATCAGTTATGACGTCACTACAAAATGACGACGTCATTAGTATGGCGTCAATTACACACGGCACAGTAAGAAATGCGAAACATATAGCACATATGTGAACCAAGAAGAGGCTTAATATAATGAAGACCAACGGTGGATTACTAAGTGGTTTCACTTGCATGGAACAGCTTCAGCAGGTTCACCAGAGCCATCTTGGTGGATGAGCTTGTTTTGTCTCACCTTCTCAGCATGATTTTCCTGCAAATGAAAAGTAAATGTTGAAAAGGTTTAGGAAACTGTTATTCATTATGATAGTATGTTTATTCCAAAGCATCCACCACAGAGAAATATAAATAAGCTTGTGGAAAGTGGACAAAACATCAAATTAAGTTAAAATCATTTAGTGGGCTAATTCATAACATAAAATATGAAACACACATCATATTGATTGCTCAATAGAGCAAAACTAGTCAGAACAACTCCATTCTAAATAAAGAATGATTATAATGTCGAGCCATACCAAACAACTACCAGGCCAACATAGGGCACCCTCAGCCAACAAGCAATAATAATGCTTCAGGGACACATTGTACAAGATCCAATTGACATTGTATAGTTCAATACAACAACAAGCGTGTTGTTATCAAACCTTGATTGATGTACACAATGTTAATAATAATTGTGTGGGAACAAAAATGAAAATATACAGAAATTGCATGTGTCATTTCTGTTTCTACCATTTAAGAGAAACATGAATGAAATAACAAATATAACAAGTACATTGACCAATAAGTAGATATACTGAACGCATGGCTCTCTAAACTTAGGGAGGTCTGAGCCCCATTTCTCCCGTTCTGGGACCAACCACCGAACATCTTCAGCTCACAATATTAAAGATACAATGCATCTAATTTTCAGAAAATTAGTCCAAAAGAACAATCATTGAAAGATTTTGAAACTAATTTTTTACCTTTTCCTTAATTTTTTCTTTCCTCTGTTTTATCTGTTCCTCTCTACTCTTTGCACTTTGTTCCATCTTTTGTTGCAGAGTTTCTTCAAGCTGATTGCACATTTCCTCAACCTCCCGTTTCACTTTTTCACGCAGCAATTCGGGTTTCTCATTCTAGGTAAGTAAATTGTGAGAAAACAACGATTTGATGGAAAGAGTCATAAAATATGAAAAATTCCGACGCAAGATACTTGAATTACTCAACATGACCCTTGCTACAGTGTCCTATGGTTAGTGCATATTCATCTATTAACACAACGAGAAAATAGGCATTAGTTAATCGATTAGTTAGGCATGCAGTCTCTTCAAATGTTTATTAAGTATGAATCTTAGTTACAAATCCAATGGCTTTAAATATTAAATCAACTAAATAATGAGATAATGACAAATTCTCACCAATTCCTTGAATTTTTCCACTTTGGATCTGATTTTTGAAAGATGATTTTCCTCGTATAATTCCCATTTTGCTTTGAGATGTTCTTCTACCGCATGAACAAAATTTTCATCGGCCTCCTGTTTTTTCTGTTTTACTTTTAGAACCTTTTCTTCTTCTGATTTTGCTTGGTTTATAACAGCAAATTGTTGGGACTAAGAAAGTGGATAAAATACTAGGGCATTGTTTTGCAGATATTTTTGGAAATTCCAAAAAAGTTTACATTTATGTTATGTTACAAATTGAAGAAAAATGAAGATGAATTTTTAGAAAAGAGTATATTCCCTTTCCGGAAAAAGACTTTTGGAATTTCCGCAAAATAGGTTTTCTTCTATGATGGTCGTATATTTCCAAAGGTATTTATGAAGAATTACATGTTATTATACCATACGCATCAACTTCCTACCTGTGTGAAAAATGATTTCATCGTGTTTGAATCAAATAAAAGACTTGTAACCTACTATGTATGGGTTGAAAGAGTCTGAAGATTGTGAAGAGTATCACATTTAATTATAACATTTCTGAAAAAGCGAGTTGTTGCAAGTTTGCAACGCTGCTTATTCTTAATAATACATATACAACAGGGAGGAAGCAATCGGTAGTTTAGCCAACGTTCCGAATTCAACGTTTTCCATTAGACTCACAACGCTTTTCTGTTGAATAAAATAATATTCTATACACTCCAAATCCGAAACCACAGTCTATATTAACTGTTAACATGAGACTAATTTATACTGAATAAAACAGCTATGAACACATCTTGCATCATAAAAAAACGTCTCTTCAAAAAAAGGTAAGTAAAAACCGAAAGCACATTCCATGTATTCATATGGATTTTATATGCGACATTGGAACTGTAATGATAAGCCAGCTCCCCCATGAATGAGATTATGTCTAAGACTTCAGACTTATACAGCAGATTGAATTAACCAGTCTGATTCTGCTACTTCCATAAAATATTCATGATTAAATCACAAGAGCTTAGGAACAAATTCAAACATTCTCGGCCACACACCCAACAAAATTCAACTACTTTATACAGAATAGGTCACAACAAGCATCTAAGACAACTTTGTCACATAGTAACAGAATTGTGTGAATAGTATTATTTGGAATTTTGGTGATAAATCCAATATAGATTTGAAATTTTAGGTTTTTCTCTTCTAAATAAAAATATTTGTGTCTTAAATAAAGATGAATTTTGGTTTTTTTTTTCTAAATAAAAATATTTGTGTTGAAAATAATAAAAAAATTTAGGTTTTCATCTTCTAAAAATTATTTGTATTTAAAATGAAGATTGTGATTGATTTGATTGAATTAATTGACTTAATTAATGAGACCAATTTCAGACAATTCCAGTTTTTTTTTTAAAAAATAGACATTTATTTTTAGAAGCGGTTTACAGATCTCCTTTGATGCCCTGAAAAAACATAGGTGCTAAAAAGGCCAAAAAAAAACAATCTCATGCCAAAGCCTGAAAATATGAAAAAATATACCTTCCTCCTTTCTTCAGCAGCAAGTAACCTCCCTCTGATGTCATCCAAAGATACATCTCGCTTCTTGTTGGGAGAAAGTGCCTTCAATGGACTTGCAGCAGCACTTCCTCCTGGCTGCTTCAATATTACTTCAAATGCATGACCAGTCTTACACTTGTTAAGGTCTTTCACCTCCATGCCTGTAACGATACACAAAAGACGAAAAAGCTAATAAAATAACCAATATACTTTTCATACATTTCACAGATTGAGCATTATATTCAAAACATGAATATATATGGAGACCATAGAAATTTTTTTTTTTAAAACAACACAAATCAATGAGAGATAAAGATTCTTGAGAGGCAGAACACCTTCACAGTATTATAATTAACATACAGAGAAAAATAGGTTGGTATGATTATTTGCCTTAAAATTCAACAGCAACTGCATACTTAATGACCATTATAAGTTATAATAGTATAATAGAAACAATTATATACAATTTTAAGTGGTGTGAAGTTAGTAAATTTAATCAGTATTTACCGAAGTTGATAAGAAACTGATAAGGAGATGAGGTGGAGATAATTGCACACAAATATGGCAATTAGCACTGCCCTTTTCAGGACATAGTATTTTTTATATGAAGTTGATTCTCTGGCTGTGCCTTACGGCTGGCCAAGACATACCGGTAACATTACATTTGACCCCTTCAAGCAATCCTTTATTTCGGTACTCTCATTTGTATTTCGCAATAATCTTGGCTGAATAAGTACCGATTACACCGTACCTGTCATATCTGGTGCTGGAACAACGATAGACATTTTGTTAGATTAACTCCAACTTGTAAAAACAAAACAAATACCGGTAACCCGACCGGTGCACCAGCAAAAAACGTTTAACGAACGAAAACAAAGCTATCTACGGCTGAAAACAATATGGTTAGATCTGGTACGACGTACAAACAAAAACAAGCACTTAAATTTTAAATCTAAAGAAGTAGGCTATACACGAGAAACCGCCAAGCGTCAACGTACACGCTTTCATATTTCGCGCGATGTGACTATTTCGACGACACAAAAGGACGTGCGTGTGCACATCCGCTAACTTGTTTCTTCTGTTATCTCACTCCTGCCGTTTTTTTCTCGCCAACCTCTCACTATTTGACAAGTGTAGTCGCGAGCACTTCCTTTTTGTGTCACAGGGCCTGCGTTGAGGAGTTTGTTTACAATTTAAGTACATGTATTCCGTATTAGGCTGAACAAAGAGCGCTGACCGATTGATAGTCTCCGTACAATTTAATGTGTCGTCTGCGTTTTTCCACATCATCCATCTTTGCACTGATGACTTACAGAAAATGAAACCAATTTGAATTACATATTAATCGCATAATCGCACAATATTTTGCCAAATAGGGTATTTTCTTAATTTTATTTTTTCGATTTTCAATAGTAAGATGTTGACCAAATAAACATTTTCTACTGTTCAAATACGAGTCATATTCAGTACTAAGGTTCCCGTACATTTGAACCCACGACAATTGCACCTGCATACTATTGCACCTATGGAAATTTTTTTGTTTTGCGGATATTTGAACCCATACTAACCTAACCCATGGGTTTTAGCACCCGCATATAGATTGAACCCGCGGATATACACATGGGTTCAAATGTACGTGGGTTCAAATGTACGGTCACCCAGTACTAAGACTCAATAGGAAAATATTTTGTTTATATTAATTATTAAAATATTTACAGAAAAGGCTGTTTTTGTCATTACAAACAAGGATTCACTAAAATATCTCAATTTTTTTCAAATCTAAACCATCATTGACATTTTGAATTTTTAATCGGCTCGCTATTTCCTAAAACTTCGCAAATTGATCTTAAAACATCCTCCATGATTATTGTCACGAAAAATCGATTGAAATTTGTCCAGACGGCTAAAGAGTGACTCATTGGGGAATACCGAATCGTCTTTATAATCACATGTTTGTATTCTCATGTTTTTAAAAATCGCTCGGAACGAGGCTTCGCATAGCCCAATAAGAAATGCTACTATGGACCGAGAGTCAAAATCTATCCTCTATTACGCACGCAATGAAATTGTGCGAATGTTAGAGCCAGTCACTAGCGAATATCGTGAATGTGCATTCATCGGTCACGTGCTACTGAATACTAAAGATAGACAAACTGGGTCTATGATATTAATTGTATCACGGTACAATTATGCTCTCCTCAAAATAAAATACTCAGGCCAATTGAAGCCCCAAGCAAGCCATTGCTCATCTTTGGATCGATTTCTAATGGCTGATTGTAGATGTACTTCGTCTGGTCTGGGTTTTCGGTGAACGTGACCGTAATGGCTGACTTGGTGCTTGACGTTGTCACTGAAGTCCCAAGTATGGCTCATTGATAGAGAATAACTCAGCGAATATTATTCATGCTTGTTTGGAAGCATAAGGCGAATTGATTATTCAGAGAAGACCTACTGTGGAATTCATGATAATTCTACAGATATTTCTTACAGTGCCAGATGCGCATTAAAAATGCATAGCGTGAACCTCAACGGATGTTTATTATGGAATGCGCTCAGCAGAAAAGGCCCGAGCAGTAAAAGTAGACGGATACTGAAACCCATACCGTAAGTATCTAACATGGCCAGGCGAAGGCTCTATATTCATAATAATAAAATACAATATACTTTATGCCTCTATCAAAGCGTTTAAGGCAAAAAACAATGCAACATCATGTTTATTGTACGAGTCGGCCTCCAAAAACACAGAAAACTGCCCTATTTCGATAATACAACATGCGAAATGTTGAACAAATTTTTTTCATTTTGTAGATTTTTTGAATTAACATAATATCGTAAAGCGAAAATAGCAAATTTGAGAAAACTATCAAAGCAGTATTACCAGTTTTGAGACAAAAACGTAATGTATCCACAAATTAGCAGCACTGCTTTATTAAAATACGAGCGAAGTCAGTCATTCGCTCTCGTGTTTATTCATTATTCAGTATGACGGGACGGTACAGACAATGACGTAATGGCAAGAAACACCACTTAATAACAAGCCCAAGAATATTACTTATTTCTCATGTCCTGAAAAATTCTGACTTGCATATAACGAGTTAATAATTCTGATGCTTTTAAAGAGGCGAGCCTGTCTGAAGTGTGGTTTATAGTTCGGGCAGCTAAAATTACCTAAGTGACGTAATAATATTAAAAATGAAGATGGAAAACGTATTCGAATATAGTATGCTTAAATAATATTGCACTATTCTAACTTGGCTGGTCAAATTTAAACTTTCAAATTGAAACAGTTTTTTCAATTTTAACATCAATATTAAATTATCTCTTTTTAAACAAAAAATTATAATTATTAAATAAAACTTTAGTCACGGACTAGTTTGCTGGAACTGTCTGTCACTTACATACAAACCATTTTATCAACCAGACCAACTTGATCAAATTGTACGAGAAATTTTGATTCATACCATCTGTAATATTGGGCATCTTCTGCGTTGGGAATGTAGCGAATAAAAGTGTTTTGATATTTTAACAACAATATAATATTTAGATTTTCAAATAAATTTTCAGATGATCTGCTTGTGGGAGATAATATACCGCCTTTGATCAGGACGCTTGTCGCAATAACGAAACTATAATTCACAATATACTTGATCTTTCATTTCTATATTATGAACTAAGGTTATAGAACGTTTAATTAAGTGCAGTATCTTTAGAGTCAAGGTCGATTATGTTTGGCAATGTCATATATGAGGTGCCTATACCAGTGCTGTGGAACCGGAGTTGGAGTCTATCTTACAATAATAAACGAACCCGGAGCCACGAACTCAACGACTCCGACGGAAATATTGTTTGAATATACCGGAGTTGAAACCGAAGATTTTGCGATTTCGACCTAGCTCTGTCATCAACAGTTAAAAAGATAATGATACACATTCGTCTATTCTAAACCCATTTACTGCCTCAGTTTTAAATTCACCAAAAAGCGTAAAACATTTTATTTACAACATATTAGGCTTTTGTATATCGCCATCTCATTTTACAAACACAGAAAATGAGTGAATGAATCAGGACATTGAATTAGGGGGTACGTACAGTGACAAGTTACGACGTTTCATGCATTTACCAGCAGTCTACCTTGAAATTTGTAAGATCGCAATGTGGAATCTGGCTCCAAATTTACGTGAAGACATGCGCACAACATGGAGAGCATTTTCATCTCACGCATTTTCTGTGCATAATCTGGTAATAAAAAAACGTCCTAACATTTTCGCAAAATATTAATGGTAATTTAAACACCAACAGCACATACGGGAGATGGTGCATGAAGTAAATAGTTGTTCATTCAAATCCCAGCTGCAGGAAAAGTTATCGAACCTTATGTTGATCCTCCCGTAATTATATATTTAAATTCAATACACAGTATAAGTAAATTCCTTGGCAATTTTATCCAGCACGATTGATCAAAACTGGGGCTGTTTATCGAGTACTATCAGTTTAGTATAATTTGATTTTTTCTGTTTGGCATTATGTAATATAGTGGAAAGAGTAATTAATGTGAAAAGAGCATTTCATAATCTTGGTAGTTGCCCCCAACCTAATTTTTTAGTAGTTGATCCCCTTCGTTGAAGTGCTTGTATTTCCTCTTTACCATCAAAAAGAGATGGCCTACATTCAAATTTACCACTGACTGATAATTCGATCTACGATATTAATGCGCGTTGTAGCAACTAGAGCAGGGGTGGGCAACTTCTCTAGTCGGCGGGCCAGATGTGGGGAAATGAAGTCCTCGGTGGGCCGGATTATTACATGAACAGTATTCAATATCTTAATCACATATTTATTCGCTAATGCAAGAAAGAAAATTATAAATTGCATTTAAGGTAAAGTTTAAACTTTACAAAAAATAGAGACCAAAAAAACACATAATGAATTTATCATAATCTACTAAAAGTGTAATAATGTAATATCATAATGTACTGATGTACAGTCAGCGGGCCGGTCAAAATCTCGCGGGCCGGGGCCGTATGTTGCCCACCCCTGAACTAGAGTGATAAATCTAGTCATAATATCTAATATAACCCACGAATGAAGAGGGGAAAATATTGGGTAAAAGTGACAATAAAAACCAGGGATGAGAAATTAAGATCCTGAGTGTGCTACTTACAGATAATAGACTTACCGGTAAACCCTCTTGGGTGGAGGTCACGATCATCAGAGTGTCGAATTAAAGTTACTTCGTATCACAAAGCTAACACTCAGAGGCTTCTAGTTGAGCACGAGTAATTTTAGCTAGATCACTATAGAGCAGGGGTGGGCAAGGTTTTTGGAACAAGGGAAAAAAATTTTGCCCACCTAGACTGGCGGGCCATGTGAGTGTGACTTAAAAAGTTACATTTTATGAATAATATGTACAGTGTTACAAAAAAAAAATGGAAAACAATAAGCCTCGTGCCAAAACTAAAGTTAATTGCAATCTCAACATATTGCTTGTGCTATTTTTCAGCTATAACATCAAAATTTGGGTTAGTTCGTGTGTGCTAGCCTCAGGCGGGCCATACTGAATTACCCAACTGGTCGGATTTGGCCCGCGGGCCGTAGTTTTCCCATGTCACATAAGTATTCAATAAATTGTTACTTAAGTTTAACGCAAGTCGAGTGTCCACGAAATTGAAAAATAAGTATTGTCAAATCAAATCTCATTTAGGATAAAATAACGAATTTATTACGATATTCACACTATGACACGGCTAAACTCGGATCGGCGGTATAGCTCATCCCACATGGACTGGTAACCAGACGTCACGCCCGTTTCGCCATATGATTGAAGCGTCTTATCGGCTTTCATTTCCTATGGGGTGAATATAAAATTCCCACTCACATCTTAAACGCAAGTATAAACCCTGACTCGCTATGTGAGTGAATAAATTTAGAGATAATTCCGAATCCAGACTTATTATAATAGAATGTTGTGTGAAAACGGTTCACAAAAAGCATATTAACGTTACCTGTTACAGATTTATCCGACATATTGATTGGAGAGGTCTTGGAAAGATTTTGCGATGGAACAAATATAACTGCAACCTTAGATTTAAAACTGCCAAAAATAAAAATGTTTTAAAATAGTAGCGATCGATAGTATGTCAGAACACAATGCAGCATTATTAAGCACTGCTGTGCATTAACTAATAAGGTATTTTTGTTTCGAGTTCTCCTCTAAATTCACAACAGATTTTTTGCCTCTCTGTACACAAAAATGCACTCTGCGCAAAATTGTTTTTGATACACTTGGCTGTAAATATATTTCCTATTTCTGACCTCAGTTATGTCAAATAGTTTTGTCGCCTGATCGGATTTTCTAGTTCACGATTAATCACGGCTGGTCAAAATAATCTTATATTATTTCAACTAACGCCTTCATGTTTTCGAGAGCATAAGACAGGGGTGTGCAACCTGCGGCCGCGGGCCAAATGCGGCCCACGAGGACAAATTGTGCGACCCGCGGAGAAGTGATAATGCGCCCACGAAACGAGTTTTTATCTTACTTTAATCTGATAAGTGCGAGTAATTGTAATCTCATTGCGCTGCAAAGCCTTTACCTGTGCTTGTGCGAAGCGAACAACGCATGTCATAACATCAATAATCAAATTTTTTTTGCCTGCAACTGTTAGAAAGCTTATGTAAATAAAGGTGCGGCCCGCGGTTTCACCGAGTTAGTTGTATGTGGCCCTCCTGTATTGAAGGTTGCACACCCCTGGCATAAGGCATACGATTAAAATTTCGACAAAGCTATTCGGATCTTCTCAAACATAAAGGAAAAAAAAACCTATAGCTAAAGTAAATGCGCACAACTTCACAGTTGTCTAAATGAAAAGCGATGCTCTCGGTTCATCGTAGGCAAGTATGCTGAATAATTGATATGAGCCTTTTTCCAAATACAATTTCTAAAAAACAGCAAATGCGAGCCCAGAAGAGAGAATAACTTCAGCAATCGCCATGACTGGAAAAATCGAAAGCAGCAGCGATTGGTAAGGTCCTAGCTAGGCTGGGCTTATAAGAGCATTATGATGTCATTCTTTCATCAGCCAATCCGATACGTCAACCTATATCGTAATCGTAACGGAGTTTTATGATACGCGGAAAAATAAAACGACATATCATCTACTACGCTACTACGAAAATGCTAGAAGCATGCCATCACTATATTTAAAATTATTTTATACTTTTATTATATGTGTGCGCTGCAACGTTCGTTTGAAATGACTAAAATAGAAAATTTAGTCAACGTAAAAGGTTGAAATGTAGATCACCATTCAGGCAATACGGTTTCTATTACTTTACAAAAATGTTTATCAGAAATATTCCAACCCCGTATAACACTTTTTGATGCATCAAAATTGCTATAGGCTATTATCTTTAGCAGTCATTTGAATAAATATCAGTAAACTTGTACATTTATGCTACCACGAATAGAGTTGTGATATTTCTCGGGCTGATATAATCAGCATCGTTCAATGTTACTACTTTTCTGCACTTTTCGAATCCAGAAGATCGATATACAGGGTGCAACTTTACAGTTTCAATTTTGTTTTGTAGTCAGTTATCAATTCACCTCAAGAAGGTTCGTTGTTTTTAAATCTGTGATTATTTAAGTATTTTCACTTCATTTATCACATCTGTGAGGGCCTAAACAATATATGGTATCGATAATTCTCTTTGCAATTTCAACACTTTATGGACACCCGAAATAAAATTATTTTACTATAATAAAAATTCTCTGATCAACATATCGTCACGCTAATAACCGACTTGCGTAAGTCATTTTTAGCAGTTTTTAGAAAAACGTAAAAAAACTTCCTAATGATATTGCTATGCCATTGAAGTCAATAGTTTGCCATGGTTCAATTTTTTGATCGTAGCCGGATTTAAGGTAATTTGTATGACGCAGTTAAGTGACGTCATAATAGCGCACTGTGACTTAGGCAGAAATGCGTCTATGACTTGGGGTTGGGGACATGCGCAATTTTGCAACTTTACTATATGCACCAGTCCTGAAAACATTCCAAAACCGAATGTAATTCTCAGTATCTGCAATGTCTAATCCCCAAAATAGCTAATCAGTTTCAATTACATTAATTTAGCGTGACGATATGTTATACTGCAATTTCGGATTTTACATAAAATAAAACAATGTCATAATGAGTTCCACACTTCCAGTATGATATCATCATCAATTTCACATTAACCAATATGATGTCATAATATTTACATTATCGTAATATAGTATATATACAGAATATAACATCATACCATGACGTATTAATTCCAACATGGGAATGTGTACTAGGAAAGAGAATGAAATGCGTACTGTTTATCGTGATTATCCGGTAATGTATATATGCCCTTATGTACAATTTGGACTGGATAACACCCATCGGCGGCAAGCGGTTTCCTGGCAAATAAATGCCTGATTCGGTATGTTTGTAAACATGGAAACCCAGCATGGTATGATGATATACTTTCAGTCTCACATAAACAGAAGTTACTCATATGTTAACATTATTAAAACAACCAACTAGTCCTAAAATAATACTTCATGACTTTATATGATTAGAATTCATTATGATTTCAATGATATAATCCGTGAACTATGAGGTGGCTTGTAATTTGTTCGATATAAAACATATGTTTAATTTCTTCTTGTTGGGAAAACAAATGAAGCAATTCATTCACATGTTTATAATGAAATAATCTGAATTATCGAAAGCATATAAACTATTTTTCAAATAGATGGATTTATTAAATCCTAAATTGCGCACTACGTTTCTTCTCTAATTTGGCTTTATTCAACTAGAAATTATTTCGAATTTTGAATGCTATAAAGCTCAAATATGAATACTAATAACAGATGATTTTCACGATAAATAACAATCTTTAGGCTTGCTTAAATGATGGAATGATTTAATTCCAATAAACACATTTGTTTCTAAAATTGAAATAAAGATACATAGTCGATAGTTTAGGCTTGTTTTTGGAATTAGTTTAATTAGTGGAATATTTGAAGGAAAATACACAGTGGACACAAAAACATAATGTGATACACAGTGAGCACTCCGGCATGGTTGGCATTTTATTCTTTATGTGCAGATTTAGGTCAGCTATGAAATGGTTTCACTAAAAGCGATTTTATTCGGCTTTACTGCCTATTGTGTTTTTGTGCTTTTCTTCAGTAAATACGAAGAAAAAAAAATGAATATGTTGAAATGTGGGGACCGCTGCAGTGCATGGACGAGGATATATATATAGTTTGGGAAATTGAGAGAAACAAACAAAAAAAAACTTCTGGTAGAATAAAAGAAGTAAATCTTGTGAAATGGTGAAAGACATAAATAAAATATAAATTTGATAGCCTAAATTGTTAACCAGCTTAGTAACTTATTAAATGACGCTGAACTTCAACAAACTGATTCTATATTTTTAATTGAAAATATCTATATTATCACCGAGATTGAAATCTGATCAAAGAACAGGCAGGGAGGCGATACATTGAATGCTTGTTTGCGTCTGTCAACGACTAAAATAAATGTATATTTAGAAAGATTAATTAATGATAAATAATGCTCAAATGTGTTTGTATAATAAAAGTCTTTGTTTTTATAATGCGCTGTTTACGATTTCCTAGTACTAATGTGGCCCGCGAACAGTGCAAAATATAATAATGTGGCCCCAGATGTCAGAAACCTTGAAACAATCATACAGACCAATAGTTAACATAAAACATTGAATTGTTTTACTCAAATAACTCACAGCAGTAAGATGAAGTTCCTTAATTGATGTTTCAAAATTGTTCATCAAAAACATTGTACCCACGTAGAAAGCGTATTGATGTAATGTAATTGCTAGACTATTATTTTAAGCCGAATGTATATTGAAAATTGAGACCAAAAATTATAGTTGGTCATATTGACTTCTTTATTGAATATTTTTCCGACTCACCATTGCAAACTAGTGTTTGGAAGTTTTATGACTTTCTTCATCAGGTTGACACTGCTTATTTGCGATACATGGCTTAATAGCTTGTGGAGCTTTACAGAAGAGCGCATCAATACCAGGAAAGGGATATTTTTATATATTCAAAGCAGTAATGTGACAGTTAAACCTCGTGATTGAGAAATTTGATCACATTGTACTTTTTCTACAATTTCCCAGGATTATTTGGCTAGTTGGCGGGCCAAAAGCTGGGGATGAAATAATTTATTTATTTTAAGTGCTTCAACGGTTCGACTTATTTCATTAACAATATATTTTGTGGAGTTGCTACAAGTGATTGCATCGAACAACATTGTCATATCCGTAACCAACACCTGTTAAATAAAATCCAACGTTGCGCGTATCTCGCCTCACTTTGCCAGTCGTCGTTCGGAGAATAGTTTGCATGTCCAATCAAACACCTCTCAATCGTCGACCATTACTTTGTATTTGGTAGTCATAATTTAAACTTTTCAGCCTGGTGCGCATTATGTATGGATACAGCCCCAACCTAAGTAACCCATTGACTGTGCGCTATTTGGTTAATAAAATATGGCACTGTCTTTTTCCTTTGACACAACATCCAACATTTTTACATCCTTAAGGCTGTTTGCAGCTAGCCTTACCTTGGTCATGGAATAGCATAAAGTGTGTGTGTATGTGCGGGGGGTACATTTACCAAGTAACAATGCTGAACTGAATAGAGTACAACGATATTACGCAGAAGATGCATGTACTATGCGGGCTTTATTATTACAGATCTAAATATTTCATATACTAAACTAAAGCATTGTTCTCTTGCTTCTATGATGCATTACGATTCATTCCTAAAGGTTACATATCAAACAATAAAGATGAAAAATTAAAAAAAAAAGGATTGGTCAAATATAATAAAAAAAAAACGCTACAGGCTCAAAAGTTGAGTTAAAATTACAACTCACTACACTCTAGGCATATTATTACAAATTGCCAACTGCGTATTGGGTCATCGCTTTAGGGTTTTTGCATTTCCCCTTGTTGACGTTTTCTTATTGGTCTGTTCTTTGCACCTTTCCAAAGGTCTCTCCCAATTATATTAGAACTTCCTTCATTTTCATCCGGATTATTTCTCTCTTTTGACTGACGCCACCAATATGTAGTTGCTGCTATTGGAGTTCCTTCTGTTGGAGTTGCACCCGTGACCACATAATCACAATTCACTGCCGAATACTGTATGCTGAAACCCGGTTGAACAACTGAACCGTCAGTGTGGAAAGTAATATGAGCGCTGTTGTTATTGGCCTTTATTTGGGAACTGGAGTTTCCGTAGTACCCGCTCAAATAGGCCAGCTGCGAACCTGGTTGTTCCGGTGTACCATCATATATATGAACGTAGTCGTGACCACTTTCTGTGTGAAAGTACTCTACTACGAATAGAATACAATACCAAGAAGAAACATGAATGGTCCATGTGCAATCGAGGGAATTTCCGTAATTTCCTGGATAACTTGGCGAAGTAATCGTGCCACTGTCTCCGTATAAGGTGTCACCACAGTTAGTCGATTGAATTGGCGCTTCTGTTGTAGACGTCGAATACTCTGCATCGTATCGAATGTTAAAACCTGTCGATACTGAGTAAGAATTTGTTATAAAACGAAGAAAGGCGAAATTTGACGAGGAATCGATTATGTAACTGTATGAAACATATCCCCACAGATTTGCTATGAGTGTGCTGTTTGCAGAATAGCCGTCGTAAACGTTCAAATAGTCACCACTTCCCAACGAGAATGATTGTATCCTCATTCTAACAAATGTACCATAAGGTGTTTGTACAAACCACTGGCATTCAAGATCGTTTCCATAGTTATACGACGGATAACCAGGCGATGAAATATATCCGTAGTAACCAGCTAAAGAAATTGTCCCGCATGTACTATTGAGCAATGACTGCGTGGTAACAGGTAAGGCAGTTGTTTCAGATGATGGGTAGATATTTGTTTGATACACATGAATGTAAAATCCACGATCAGTTCCGGTATAGTCTGACCGAAAGTGCAGCGTTGCGTAAGGTGAGGATGAAGTAGCAACGTACGTGTGTCCGGATATATAACCTGTGAGATGTGCAATGAGTTGTGAAGAATCAGTTCCATAACTGTTGTAAATTTTTACCCAGTCGTAAGAGTATTCAATGGAGAAATAAAGAGTCTTAAATTGCAAGGCGCTGTATCCATTGGGTGCTTGGATTCTCCATTGGCAATCGGCATTGTTGGGATACCAATTCGGATAATTGTATCCCGGAGATAATATTATATAAGAAGATCCCGAAACAAACGTAATTCCGCTGCACTGTGGACTAAAATATGGTACATTTGTTGTACTTTCTTCCGGCGTTGCTACGGTCGTGGCTGAGATATGATAAGTCCAAAATTCTACGTTGAATCCTCGATCTGTTCCATAGTTATCAGATTGAAAGGTCAGAGTTGCATATTGTGATGGGATAGATGCGAGATTTGGGTGGCCATAGATATCACCCGTGTATTCACCTATCAAGTTATAGTAACTGGTTTCATATCCGCTGTAGAATCGAACCCAATCTGAAGAGTTTTCAATTGAGAAATAGTGTGAATGTAAAATAATTCCGTACCCGTTCGGTGCTTGTACCCTCCACTGACAATAGGCATTGTTGGGGTACCATTGTGGGGAATAGTATCCGGGAGAGTATATGTCGACATTAGTGTTTATGTATTGAGTTCCAGTGCATTGCGGACTAAAATATGAATTCGTAGTTTCCCTGGACGACTAGTTGTAATCGGCTCCTGATAATTTATCCCTTCATATGAAATATTGAAGCCATTGTAAGATGACGATGAATAATCTGAGCTGAAAACAAGATATGCTTTGTTTGAATTTGCCCTCACGCTGTATCCACTATAAACACTGTCATATAAGGTGGTTATATAGCTTCCGGGGTTAGAAGGCAATCCATTGTATATGTAAAGTCTGTCGTAGTACTGTGTGTTAAAATATTCTACTGTGAATTGCACTCGAGTACCATAATATGTCTGCACTGACCAAGTGCAATTCATTCCGTTATCGTACTGTCTGGGATAGTTAGGTGACGAGACGAATCCCGAATTACCACTTGTCAATTGTACGGAGCCGCACGTCACAGGTGTCTGAGCAGTAGTACTGGGATTTGGATCCGCTGATGGTATGTTTATATAAGACGCTCGAAATCCTTTTCCAGAAACCAAACAATCTGAAGTGAAACGCAGAAACATGGCTTTTCCAGTGCTTACAATTGAAGAAACGTGTCCAATGAATGTCCCGTCGAAAGTTGCTAAAACTGGCGCAGTCTTGTTCATACCGTCATAAATGATAAGATGGTCACAGCACTCTTCCATGTCATAGTCCAGCATATCAAGACGAACAACATTTTCAGTCGGATATGCAATTAACCAAGAGACATCAGCACCGTTGGGGTAATTGTTCGGATAGCTAGGAGAATATATTTCACCTGCTACTACATTGTCTCCGAACACCACAATGCTTGATCCGAGTTTATGAAATGTTTTCGAATTAGGCTCAGCAACTTTATTGGGGTGGTTAATATACTTCATAACAGAATTGCTCTCTTCACCACTTTGTATATTGTAAATTCCTCCAACCGTCTGAGAGGGATATTGCTGCCCGGTGCTTCTTTCTGGAAACATCAAGAAGTTACGTTACACGTTACAATCGGTTTATTTAAACCTGATTATGACAATCAACTCCCCTCTTTTGAAATTTTCGAAAGAATAAAAAGTGGTGATATCGCTTGCCACTGCATTTTGCTAAAATCACTGTTTTCGTCAGCGTCACGTGCTCTTTAGGCCGTAAACACCTTTACGTCGGTGTTTATTCTTCCTAAATCACAAATTTCCCCTTAACATAAGTACGTCTTGTGCCACGACAACGATTATAGTTCTGTTTTTTGTACTCGCACAGAATTATGAATCTAGTGAGAGATATTATACATTCTTCGACAGCGAGATGCTGAAGACAAACAACAGCATAATAACACAAGAGAGCAACGCTCAAATATATGGACACGTGGACTAGAGCGAAGCAGGGTTTACCTTTGACGTTACCTATACCCCTCAAAAAGTTCCGGGTTTTCAGTCGCAAGAATTTTCACAGTCAGCCGTCACGCTTGGCGGATTAAAAACCGTGTTCCCATAATTAAAAATTAATACAGCGCAATTTTGGATGAAATATTAGATCTCATAAGATTCATAGAAAACTCAGGAATAAATGAAAGTAATAGCCTTCTGGCAAAAAAATCAATCTTGAACCACTGAAAATTCCAAAGCAATGGACCTTTCCCCGAGCATCGACTTCCTTGTTTACTTCGTGACATTGGCCAATCAGCAAGATGAAAAAAGTGACGTAACAATGCCCACTTTTTGCATCCGCTCAGACACTTTTCTCACTCAGACAGATTTTCAAGCGTGGTTGTAAACATTACCTCGTTTTCGCGTTTTTGAACTCTATTCGTTAGTTTTCAGTTGTGTTTCGGAAACTTAAATAAAAATCAGATAATTCAATGATCACTCTGTCTTCCTAGGAGTTTTAATTTAATTGCAGTCATAAAAATTAGTGTAGAAATAGCTGTGATAGACTAGCCTGAAATTCTTTACCGGTACTTTGAAAAAACCGATTGTTGTGTGCAATGAATCATAATGATGGTTTGAAACACATACCCCATTTTACAGGCGCCAACTCGCAAAAGCACTCCTAAAATAGCACTGAAAATTTTGCAATGGTAAAGTATAGGAAGAATTTTCCGGGGGTCAAAGGTCGGGGAAGGGTCCATTGGTCCAGTATTCGAAGAGAAAAGCGATTTTTTAATGATAATGACGAAAGAAAATAACAATAACAACGAAATTTTGAAACGATCGTTATGGCCACTAAACGTGTCCAATAACGATCTATAGGTGATAACGAAGTGAATCCGCGACGCATATTTTTGATTGAAAAGCGGCAATATAAAATACTGAGTAATAAAACCGAAAACTATTCAAGTTTCGTTGTTTGATTCTCGCGACAGATTAGAAACGCTTATTCGGGCCTCATAAATCATACATTCTGTTTGATTCGTATTGGAAACCATGACGTTACTAAAATCGAAACACAGTCAAATGTGTGCGGCATCACCTTTCTACCCATTCCTTCAAATTTTCGTGTAAACATTATACAAGGTTGGGAAAACGACTTTTTCCCGAATTGTGATAATGTTCAAGATAAATAATCTGAGGTATATTTAATCAGTTTTTATTGTACTAAACAAATTTTACTTCGTGAGATTTCATAGCAGACGTAGGGATTTTTCTGACGGTTACCGGTACATCCTAAATATAATCTGAGTGGCAGCATTGCGATAGAGCGGAATCAGTGTTGCGCAAAATGGCAAAAATACGAATTAAAACAAGATATAATCAGTGAGTTTATCACACTTTTTATGTCCGCGGAATGCTGTGATATTTTGGAATTTAAGAGTAATGATGCTTTTATTTTGTCGACGCAACTACAGGTTAGAATGGAGACAATTAAATTAATAAACCAAAATATGCCCGAATAGGTCAAGAATTGATTACAGAACAGAAAAAAATATTATTCATGGAAAAGGCAGCTCATTTAACAAGTGCATTTACTAATATGCTTATGTATTTTTATTCGGTTTTCCTTTTTTTGTTCAATGGCGATAACGAATTCACAAGATCGCTAAAATACGTATCAAAACTAAGGCAATTTATCTCATATTTTTATGTCCACAGATTGCCTAGTATTTTAGCGAGGTACTGTTATTATTTTGTCGTAAGAAGACACAACCGCGAGTTACGTTGATAACAAATAAATTAATATAGAATAACATTTTAGATTCTAGTAGTTGTCTATTGCTTCTTGGTTCAATTACTACATTTTTCCTTTTTCTTGAGTTTTAGCATTGATGTCTTTAATAGTATTGTCCCGTCGTTGGTCAAATAACTTATCCTTTAATATTTCTTGAAATTAGATAGATAAGTAACTTTGCCAAAATCATATTGCAAACGCCCCCTCTATAGAATGTACAGACATCTGCACTGGGAATTTAAAACCAATGGGCAAAGCAGGTTAAAAAAAACTTTGACAAAACAATAAGATGAGGATTTAGAAAAAGGCCTTCTTTGTGCCCAAAAAAGTAGATGGTCATGATTTTGCCCCATAAAACTTTAAAAAAAAAATCTTGCGTAGACCAGAGCTACTCAACTGGCGGACCGCGGTCCGAATCCGGACCTTCCGGGTATTCGATTCGAACCGCGCCTAATTCTTTATTTTGGATTATTAGCCTCAATTTCGAAGTTTTCTTTTTTAAAATCACTTTTATAGATTTAAATATATATGAAAAGAACTAAAACTCCATAATACACAATCTTGATTAGCTAATAACCATTGGTCGACCGAGAAAGTGCGTGTTTAAGGATGCCGAAATATAATTTCTGGAAAGACTGCCTCGAATATTCGTGAATTTTTATATGCGGATCTTTGGTAAAAATAGTTGAGTAGCCCTGGCGTAGACCACCAAACAATGGTTCATCTGAGGCGACTTTCAGGGCGCGTGACTATCGCTGGTGTCGTGAGTTGGTTTTGGCAGTTCTGGAAATAGAGTTGATGTGAAAAACTCGGATGATAAATACTCATAGTAAAATACGATTCACTTTGCCTTGTTGCATTTTCAGGAGCGTCCAATGTAAAAGACCGAACCTCTACCCCATCCGGGACGATAATATGATGAGATACCTTGACCGAATCGTCGCCTCGGTTGTCCATAGACACCCGGAACGTGTACATGGGAAGTTCGATGTCATCGTAACTCGAACTGCGACTGTTAACGCCAATAACCCCCAGGTTCATCTGAAATTTGTTGAAAGTGAAAATATTAATCAGTTGTTGTAGTGAACACTTTAATACATTGATATTACATAGTTTTCGCAGTTTCGATGTGCTTCTACTAGGCTTGCACGTAATTGACAAAAATCAATTCCGTAATTACGGCAAAATCAATTACGTAATGACCCCGTAATTGCGATATTTTTCCACGCATTTAAACCTATCGTAACAACCCATTGAATCCACTTTTTTTTCCGAATGGGACATTGAAGTTGGGTTTTTCTATTCTTGGCAGTACTACACGCCGGCGGCAGATGTTAAAGACAAATATCAAGGAGTGAATTCAAATTAATTTTATTCTGATTTTTATCTTTTGTGTTAGCTTTGGTTTTTCTTTATCACCTTCGCAAATTAACCGTCCCATTTTTATGCGATCAATTTTATTTTATCATTACCGACACTGGTATACGGATATTTATGGAAACGATAGTTTTTTAAAACCACCTTAGTACTGAATAAAAATTACGGGTTTCTAATTTATTAACCAACGACGAGCGTATTCTCTCATTTGATTATACTTGCGATTTCCTCGCGACGAAGACTTGTTTTTGCAGCGTTTTCTGCATTATCCGACATTACTGCCTTGTTAGCATTTTTATAATAATAATCATTGATGTCGACTTATTGACGATATTCCGATTACCATGCTTCATTTTACATTCAATCATTTCGCGGACTGAATATTTATAACATTATTTGCGATAAATTTAGATCAAATAGTATTTATTTGCGTATAATTTAAATACCGAACTTATATGACATGCCTTCTCCGAAAATACAAAGTTATATCGCAAAACAATGCATTTTGTGACATTTATATTACACTCACAACATTTATTTGCTAACTCAAGTCGGCGATCCTATCGGCCAAGATTGACAAAAATTTGGTCGAGTGCCGGTGGTATTCAAGTCGACGATAAATCAAAATAAGTTGCTGCATTTGGTAAGACAGTTAATCATATATGGCCGAAATATTGAGAGGAATTGTGAAAAACATCATGAGCAAGGCCAAGTCCGGACTGATATATAACCATAAAACCGTTAACAGAACATCAAGATTTTGTAATAGAAAATGGATCTCGCACAGAATAAACACACAGGCTCATATTTGATTATATATGATAGCAGTGAAATTTTCAACGGTCCGCGAGGAATCCGTCGTTTTGGTTCATTACGCAATCTCTCTTTTGTCGTCAAATTGCTATTTGATAAGCGCGACATTAATTATCACGGCGAAGTATTGGCGCGAGTGATCAATCGCTCTTTTCGCTTATTTGGTTCCAATTCGTCGCGAAAGCTCTTCGTTAAATTTCACAAGATCGTCGTGTTGAAAGGTTATGGATATTTTCCTGTTTATACCCCAAGTCTGAAATGAAACAGCCAAAAACAATAGGATATTCCATGTTCATATATCAAGTGTTGATATTAACAATAAAGAATGGTTAAGCATTGCTAATCCACACTTGGTGGGGAATTCCCACTATTCAAACGCGTGAATATAAAATAGAAACGGAACATATATACCATAAGTAACGGAAAACTGGAACAAGTAAATAATAAATAAAGGTAAAATGGATACAAATGTTTGATAGGCCATGTTTGATAGGCCATGTTTGATAGATTGATCTCCTGCGTTCATTAGTCATTTCACCCGAAGAAGTTGAAACCGGGGTGTTAGCGTCCATCGGTCTTAACACAATTCTATCCCTTATCTATGGTTAAGTTGCGGGAGAAGTTAAAACCAGGTGTGTTGACGTCAAACGACCCAGATATTTTATTTTGTGACAAAGAGTATGATATACTGCTATTTCTAGAAATTCCGCTTGAATACTGAGTATTCAACTATATATGTGTAAATAGTTTGCAGTGTAACTTACAGTGTAACATTTTTAAACATTCATTTAGTGGCATATTTTTGATTTGTTCTCTCTGTGTGTATACCGGTATTGTTTTAACAATGTTGGCCACGTCAATGTATCAATTAGGCTACAGACCTGCTCACGTGTGATTAGTGTTTTTCCTAATAATTGCTTTTATGAGTGTCCGCACACCGAATTTGCCGCCATGGTTTTGCGTTTGTTTGTATATTAAACCACTTATCACCTTTTCCGCAATGCCCAATCTAGCAATCAGTGTAGTTTTTCATGGCTTGGTTTTTCTTAAAGCTTTCATGGCTTCATGAGTATGACTATCGTCGCAAATTTATTACATTCCACTCCCCACATTATCTTTGCATGAGGTTGTAGGTATTGGTCATTATCAACGTAATTGTTGAAAGAGAGTACAACAGCCCGAAAGTTTATTACTATCGTGTATTTTGTTTTTTAAGTTTGGCCCAAGCCTCATTTAATTGGGCTTGTGTTTTTGTGTGCATGCTGGTGGGCAGGCACATGAGATACTTCATGTTTTAAACTTTTTTGTAGGTTTTGCTTGCCCTCCAGAATTCTCCATTTTAAATTTAGGTTTGTTATGGAGTTTTCGAAATAAACTATCTATCTATCTACTCAGTTCTTCCCCCATTAACTAACTAATAATTTACATTGGCCACGCCAGATAAGTTGATAATAGTTTAGTAAATGGCAACGCGGCATGCCTTCCTTCACCTACGTAACAAGAGAGAGAAAAACGGCTGCGAATACCGGAACTCTAACTTCTTCTACTTGTTGAGCTTTCATTTCAGAAAGCTCGTTTCAATGCAATAATAACGACTTTACGTAATTCGTAACTTCCCTTCCGTAACTCCAAATAATTACGTAATTCCGTAAATCCGTAAATTACGTGCAAGCCTAGCTTCTACTAAACACGACTATACTTCGTATGTCCCATCCACATTATATTGATGCAGTTTTATTGAACAAATTAGGAGAGTGCCACTCACGTTTTGAAATGTTCAAATACGATTGTAGTGAAAACTATGGTGCAACGATGCCAGTGGTTTTAGCAATCAATAAATGTGATTGTGGTAACAGGAAATTGCATAATTTTCATAGTGTTTAGACGTATTGTATGTGTGTAATTTCGTGGCGTAGTGAACACAAAAATCATTATATACACGTTTTACAGAGGCTATTGTAGTGAACAATGAAATATGCGATAAAATATACTTGAAAAAAAGAGCGAAACATGAGTAATATTGCTAATTTGAATTTCGGAGCAGAACAGATTCGGCGTCCGAAAATTTTGACTCCGCTCACCTCTGTATTGCATTGCATGTAAGATAGTATCAAATGAGCAGAGGCCTTCGTTGGAAGAGAAAATCAAAATATGAAATGATATTCGACTTACATCATTATTTGTTATCGATCTTTTCTTTATTCCATCGTTTTCTGCATTTGACGAAGCAATCACGAAAACATACGAGAAGGTGGCAAAGCCGAATAAAATCGTTTTTAGTGAAATCATTTCACGGCTGGCTTAAATCTACAGATAAAGAATAATTTTAAACATGTGAATGAATAAATTAGAAACCATGTAAGAGTGCATCATCGCCTATTACTTCTCTATGCTTCCTCCGAATAACATCTCTGAATACTTTCGAATCAAATTTTATTGAATAAAGACGGATCTGCCATCGAATTCGGATATACAATAATTTTTTAGTAGAAAATGGTCAAAATCGTCAGAAAAAGAAACAACAAATTCTATTTGGAAAATAGAATATTTTTACTTTCAATTATTTGGTTATAAACATGTGAATGAATTTCTTCTGTTTCTTTTCTGACTACACCTCAGCTAGTCAAGCCAGAAAATATGATAAATTTGTACCCGAGGTTCAAGAAATCCTAAGTCAAATGAAGTTTCAAGTTTAACTCCGAGATTATATAGTTTGAAGAATAAAACGACATAAAAAAGAAGACGGATGAGAGGCGAGAAAAAGTTATGGGAAAAAATGACACACCATACCATACGCGTGGGGCGTGATCTGATTTCCAAATTTTGCAATTTTTATTCGAAACTTTAACTCATATTCCACCTCAGGAAGAAACTAATATAAAATACGTAGAATAAGTTACAAGCAGTGGTGGGATTCAGCCGGTTCGCACCGGTTCTATAGAACCGTCTCGCGGAATTTTATGAGATCAGCGAACCGGTTAGCATTACTAAAAAAACATATAGCAGAACCTGCCGGAAAATATGACTTCTGTGATGGAACCGGCTGACAAAAAAATTGAATCCCACCACTGGTTACAAGCCGACATATATTTCACAAATCAAGGTATGGCTTATTACAATCAAATAAAACCTATTCATGTATAGAAATATATATAAAGTCATGATGTTTTATTTTGGGGACTATTTATCGTAGTTACGTTAAAATATAAGTAACTTCAACTATTATAAATTAAGTACTTGATAATAAAATTGCAAATTTCCAATCAATGTTTACCAACATATCCAACTCGGGCGATTATTTGCCCAAAAACCTTTACCTGTCGATGGATGTTTTCTAACCCAAGTTATACATTAGCGAATAATCATGATCACATCGATGTTTTCGACGAAAAAAACTTACTAAATATGTACTTTAATTTATAGCTTTATAGCATTGATTAACGTATACTGCAAAATTGGATAGGTATGGTACACGCAATACTTGGTATTAATAAATATAGCCATATTCCATGGCCCAAGAACAAATTGTTTTCGGAAAGCTGCGGTCATAATGCAAAGAGGTATTTCCTGGGAATTTATTGAAAGTCAAACAAAATGTTTCCTGAACTATTTGTACAAAGAAGATACGTTTCTCGGAAAACGAAACTGTTTTTTTAAGATATTATAAAAAAGCGTTTATTTGTTGTGCAATGGAACTGGAACTCATATCTTTTATGTCACTTAAGGTTTAATTGGTTTTATAATAAACACTGACACGCCATAATACGTAACTCATTATTACTGGAATAGCCAACCTGGAGTGCGTTAAATAATTTCTGTTGAGTTATTAGCATTGATATGCATTAACCATCTCCGGGCATTTTGGGTCATTTATGATAACTCTTAAACATTTTTGACACCTTGTCTCTCTGATGGTCAACTTGTGCCAAATTCGATCGAATTCTAAAATATACCACTTATATTTTTCGATCTGCAATACCTTATAACTTGATCAATATATTTTGGTCTATAAAAACATTAACGGGTCTGTCTACCTCAATTCATTCATTGATTTAGGACTTAAATATAAGCACAAAATCGAAACAAATGTTTAATATAGACTAAATTTGTTACACTCCTTATATGCTACTGGGCTCATCACGGAACCCCCATTGAAAATTATTCAAAACCACCCATAAAAGTATGAAAGAAATATTTGGTGTCGAACATTCCAACAATAAAAATGAAAAGTTATTAAACAAGGTAAATTTCATTTTTCTTACAAAATTCTAAATTGTGGCTTCATGACGTTCTATGAAATATTTATGCAGCGTTTCTTAACCTAGATAAGAATTTGTAAGTAGCCTAAGTGAACAGTGTACATGAATGAATAGGAAATCGGTGGGAGTTTAGGGTTCCGTGAATGGTGAAATTCGCACCAAAGAATATTTTGTAGCAGAGCTTTGCTTAAAACTATCATCAACCGTCATGGACGATCTTATAATGGTGCTGAGGAATACCGTATCTATTTTTTAAAACGATCGTTGTTACTTGAAATCTGAGCTACTAATGACTTGGGCTCCCAAAGTTGCAAATCTCGTTTCGGTAGTTATTCCTTCTTTTCAGAAATACTTTTCTTTTACCGGCGCTATTATGACACAACAGTGGTTATTTTTATAAAGTGTATTTGTATAATAAGGTTACGCCACAATGATCGTGGGGGTTCCAAGTTTGTCCCAAAAATCTTTGCATTTCCGAGATTTTTTGTGAAATATGTCAATCAAGAAAAAGCCCTGTTCGTATGACTATGTGTAGATAGTCTCTTGTTGCAATTTAGAGTTTTTATATCCAGTGGCAACCCATGCAAAACAATAAACAACATATTCATAATTTGTCAATTGAAGACAGTTGCATTTTTGTAACCTTGCACAGAATTTTCTTCTTTAATACTGAAGTTCTAGTTGCGCCCCTGGTTTTAACTGTTCAAACGTTATGATTCGGCGAAAGCTCCCAGAATAACGTAGGAGTTCGGCAGACTCGCAAAGCTTAAAACCACTGTATTAATGCATATATCCACACTGCTCAAGAAACTTCTGTCTTCACACCTAATAGTTGTTAAAGCAAATAATACTGTTTCACACAAATATGTACTGAGGAATGAACACAGTCCACCCAACGACAAATTGTCAACAAACCCTACAAAACTCATGGAATCCAAAAAGTGTTTTGTGGAATTCTCGAATTCCGCATCACGCCGTTTGAAAGCACTGATCAATATATCCCAGGATTATTTTGCTATTCGTCGACCCAAAAGCTGGTGATGAAATAATTTATTTATTTTTAATTGCTTTAAGGGTGAGACTCATTTCTTTAACAATTTATTTTATGAACTTGCCACAAGTGATTGTATCAAGAATAATGTCATATCCGTAACCAACACTATAAGGCGTTTGAAGATCTAGATACTGTGTGACTTTAACAGCGAAAAGCTGTTGAATAAAATCCAACAATCCAACTCGCGTATAAGCCGCGCGCCTTATAGTATGGTGTGCACTATTAAGAGATAACGTCTAGCCTAGGTAATCTATAGATAGTGGGTCATTTAATTAAACCGTCACGCCTTACTGTCTGTAAAATACGGCACTGACTTCTTTTCTATAATCCGTGTTTTTATATAACTCGTGATGACTTCATATGATTCAAAATGTTGTCCTATAGCCTACTTCATATAAGACTGTTTTTCAGCCAGAATAGCATAATGTGAATAGGATTTCTATGATTAAGCCGGGAAAGAAAAGGTGATAAGAGGATAATAATCGACCGACATAGAGCAAAGCTTGGTTGGTTGTACTAGATTGAGTTGTGAACCAAAACTACACTCACCTAGTAAAGCTAACAATATGCCGAGCAATAGGAATAGAGTACAAGATACAACTATGCTACACAGAAAATGTATGCAGCCTTTATTATTACAGCTTTATTATTTCATATTTTAAATAATTACTCTCTTGCTTCTACGATGCAATCATTCCTAAATATTACATATCACAGAATTAAAAAGATAGAAAATTAAAAAAAAAGCACTACAGGCATAAAAGTTGATTAAAGTTACAATCCACTACACTCTAGGCATAATAGTACATATTGCCAACTGTGTATTGGATCGCTGCTTCAGGGTTTTTCCATTTCCCCTAGTGGACGATTTCTTATTGGTCTGTTCTTTGCACCTTTCCAAAGGTCTCTCCCAATTATGTTGGAACTTCCTTCGTTTTCATCTTGATTATTTCTCTCATTTGACTGACGCCACCAATACGTAGTTGCTTCTATTGGGGTCCCTTCTGTTGGAGTTGCACCCGTGACAACATAATCACAATTCACTGTCGAATACTGTGTGCTGAAACCCGGTTTAACAACTGAACCGTCAGTGTGGAAATTAATATAAGCGCTGTTGTTATTGGCCTTTATTTGGGAACTGGAGTTTCCGTAGTACCCGCTCAAATAGGCCAGCTGCGAACCTGGTTGTTCCGGTGTACCATCATATATATGGACGTAGTCGTGAACACTTTCTGTGTGAAAATACTCTACTACAAATAGAATACAATACCAAGAAGAAACATGAATGGTCCAGGTGCAATCGAGGGAATTTTCGTAACTTCCTGGATAATTTGGCGAAGTAATCGTGCCACTGTTTCCGTATAAGGTGTCCCCACAGTCAGTCGATTGAGTTGGCGCTTCTGTTGTAGACGTCGAATACTCTGCATCATATCGGATGTTAAAACCTCTCGACACTGAGTATGAATTTGTTATAAAACGAAGGAAGGCAAAATTTGACGAAGAATCGATAATGTAACCATATGAAACATATCCCCACAGATTTGCTATGAGTGTACTGTTTGCAGAATAGCCGTCGTAAACGTTCAAATAGTCACCACTTCCCAACGAGAATGATTGTATCCTCATTCTAACAAATGTACCATAAGGTGTTTGTACAGACCACTGGCATTCAAGATCGTTTCCATAGTAATACGACGGGTAACCAGGCGATGAAATATATCCGTAGTAACCAGCTAAAGAACTTGTCCCGCATGAACTATTGAGCATGGACTGTGTGGTAACAGGGGGAGCAGTTGTAACGTTTGATGGGTAGATATTTGTTGAATATACATGGATGTAAAATCCACTATCAGGTATAATAGAATCTGACTGAAAGTGCAACGTTGCATAAGGTGAGGATGAAGTAGCGATGTACGTGTGTGCGGGTATATAACCTGTGAGATGTGCAATGAGTTGTGAAGAATAATTTCCATATCCGTTGTAAATTTTCACCCAGTCGTAAGAGTATTCAACAGAGAAATAATGAGTCTGAAATTGCAAGGCGTTGTATCCATTGGATGCTTGGATTCTCCATTGGCAATCGGCATTGTTGGGATACCAATTCGGATAATTGTATCCCGGAGATAATATATTAGGAGATCCCCAAACATACGTAATTCCGCTGCACTGTGGACTAAAATATGTTACATTTGTTGTTGTACTTTCTTCCGGCGTTGTTACTGTCGTGGCGGAGATATGATAAGTCCAAAATTCTACGTTGAATCCTCGATCTGTTCCATAGTTATCAGATTGAAAGGTCAGAGTTGCATATTGTGATGGAATAGATGCAAGATTCGGGTGGCCATAGATATCACCCGTGTATTCACCTATCAGGCTGTAGTAACTTGTCCCATATCCACTGTAGAAGCGCACCCAATCTGAAGAGTTTTCAATTGAGAAATAGTGTGAATGTAAAATAATTCCGTACCCATTCGGTGCTTGTACCCTCCACTGACAATAGGCATTGTTGGGGTACCATTGTGGGTAATAGTATCCGGGAGAGTATATGTCGACATTAGTGTTTATGTATTGAGTTCCAGTGCATTGCGGACTAAAATATGAATTAGTAGTTTCCTCTGGACGACTAGTTGTAGTCGGCTCCTGATAATTTATCCCTTCATATGAAATATTGAAGCCATTGTAAGATGACGATGAATAATCTGAACTAAAAACAAGAAATGCTTTGTTTGAATTTGCCCTCACGCTGTATCCACTATAAACATTGCCATACAAGGTGGTTATATAGCTTCCGGGGTTATAAGGCGATCCATTGTATATGTAAAGTCTGTCGTAGTACTGTGTGTTGAAATATTCTACTGCAAACTGCACCCGAGTACCATAATATGTCTGCACTGACCAAGTGCAATTCATGCCGTTACCATATTGCCCGGGGTAGTTAGGTGACAAGACAAAGCCTGAATTACCACTTGTCAATTGTACGGAGCCGCACGTCGCAGGTGTTTGAGCAGTAGTACTGGGATTTGGATCCGCTGATGGTATGTTGATATAAGACGCTCGAAATCCTTTTCCAGAAACCAAACAATCTGAAGTGAAACGCAGAAACATGGCTTCTCCAGTGCTTACAATTGAAGAAACGTGTCCAATGAATGTCCCGTCGAAAGTTGCTAAAACTGGCGCAGTCTTGTTCATACCGTCATAAATGATAAGATGGTCACAGCACTCCTCCATGTCATAGTCCAACATATCAAGACGAACAACATTTTCAGTCGGATATGCAATTAACCAAAATATATCAGCACCGTTGGGGTAATTGTTCGGGTAGTTAGGAGAATATATTTCACCTGCTACTATATTGCCTCCGAACACCACAATGCTTGATCCGAGTTTATGAAAGGTTTTCGAATTAGGTTCAGCAACTTCATTGGGGTGGTTAATGTACTTCATAACGGAATTGCTCACTTCACCACTCTGTATATTGTAAATTCCTCCAACCGTCTGAGAGGGATATTGCTGCCCGGTACTTCTTTCTGGAAACATCAAAAAGTTACGTTACACGTTACAATCGGTTTATTTAAACATTATGACATTTCAACTCCCTTCTTTTGAAATTTTTGAAAGACTGAAAAGTCGGTGATAACGCGTGCCACTGCATTTTTCTAAAATCACTGATTGTTTTCGTCAGCGCCACGTGCTATTTAGGCCGTAAACACCTTTACGTCGGTGTTCATTCTCCCTAAATCACAAATTTCCCTTTAACATAAGTACGTCTTGTGCCACGACAACGATATTAATTCTAAGCAGACAAAACCTAAAATAAGGTTTAAAACGTTACTATGAAGAAAGGAAAGATATTGCAAAGAAAAGGACATGCGTCGCTCACTCATAGATATATATGCTGCTAGACTTCTACTGCTTGAACATATATGCAACACGCCGCGGTTTCTTGGAAGCAAAATGCTCAATAACGCGCTGATTAAAGTCATGCATCCCAGAAATAACGTCTCTGTGAATGGATAAAACAGCCAAGGAATTTAATCTATCTTGCTTCATTGTGTTTCTGAGATACGTTTCAATACGCTTCAGCGTGCTGAATGTTCGCTCTGCGTCGGCGGAAGAAATAGGCGTCGTCAAAATGATGTCCAGAAATTTTGCAGACGCCGCAAAGGTAGTTACTAGAGTGTTATCTATGAGGAACCCATAGAGCGCGCAAGTTGATGTGATGTTCAAAAAAGTTTGATTGGTGTATATACATAGCAATTCATTTTCCAATTTACCCACGTTTATCATGGAGTAAAATTTGGAGACAGTAGCCAACAAATGGATGGGAAATTGACGTGCAAATTTTGAAAAAATTTTGGGGTTCATCAAAAAGAACGCGGCAAGGTGTTCAGTGCGCAGACGATCGCCTATTTGATTCACCAGAATGTCATAGCATTCCTTTGCAGACAAAATCAAACGCTGCGTTGTTTGACCGCGGCGTAAAGAAGCACTCCATGTGTCGTCGTATTTTATTGTTTCCCGGATACGAGATACAGCATCGCAGAAGTCTGAAATACACGACTGCACAGACGCTCCATCCAGCTCAGACCTAATTTCGGACACGCCTCGCACCACGCGTGATTGGAAGTTCCAACGTGTTGGTGCACAAGCTGGGAGACGGCGGCTACATATCTGGCGAAGGAGGTCAGAGCGCTTCGGCGAAACGGAAAAAAATGAAGAAAACCCTGAAACATTTGCAAAAAATATACGGACGAGAGGGGTATCAAGACACATATTTTTAATAACGAGGTTAAATTGGTGTGCATAACAATGTAAAAAATGCGCATGAGGAAAATCTTCTTTTATATAAACTTGAACACCATGTTTCGACCCACTCATGACTGCCGCGGCGTCATAAGTTTGAGCTATCAATTTTGACTTCGCGTTGTAAGACTGTAACACTTCTTTCAGCACAGCCGATATCCCGCAAGCCGTGCGATCAACGATTGGTACAAAGCTGTGAAATCTCTCGGTAGGTTTACCATCTTTCACAAACCGGAAAATCACAGCCAGTTGGGAAACGCACGTGATGTCAGTTGTCTCGTCAGACTGAATCGAAAGGAACTGGCAATTCTCAATTTCCAGAGCCAAATGTTGTAAATAAATTTTATACATTGAGTCGAGCAAATCATTTTGGATATCCTTAGATGTCCCTTTCGAAACAGTTGCGGCATCAAGATGATCTCTCAATACTGTATCTAGGGATGCGGTGTATTCCACCATATCCAAAAATACCCCTCTATTAGAAGAGCCAGCCCGTTCATCGTGCCCACGGAGGGACAGCTCGTGACAACCAATGAACTTCAAAACATCTATCAATCGACCGAGAACATGGCGGTTTTTCTCGACGTTTTGGTTGTGCCGACGAATAGAAACCGCGCGTCCTTCATCCAACTGTGCTGCAATATTAACACTTCCGAATGTTCGGTATTTTACTGCATTGTCCAGATGCTCCATAGAAGATTGATGATCCCTGGCACGCTCGGAAAGATGTTTAAGATCTCTAAAACCAAATTTACACCAACGTGAGTCACGGGCGGTAGCAAAAAGTAGGCAATAAAAACAAAAAAGTGCATTTTTGTCCTCGCTATAACACAACCATTCGTGTTTTTCATACCAAGTTTCTGCGCAGAATGTACGCCGACGCTTTCCTCCGTCATGGGATTGTTCCAGTGAACAATTTTTTGGTTGATAAGGCCCAAGACGTTGTACCTCTAATTTTTGTTCCAGCGGCAGCTGCGAAAACGGAGTGCGAAGTAGTGCATCAACCTTATTCAATATGAGGTCTAAAGCTAAGAAATGCGAAGCCGGAAAGAAGTGAGGAGCTCAAAAGGAATGTGGAAAATCGAAAGCAAATGGACTAAAAGTCTCTGATTCAAATAGCGAAACAAGCGACAAAAACGAAGGCGAGGAAACTATCAACTCTTCAAGCAACCAACGAACGAGAAGGAATGCGTGAATATGTCAACACGTTGTTGTAAGAAACGTCGGCATTGTGTCGTCATAATTGCGGGGCTAGCCCCGATCGGCCCCGATGATTTAGTAAAAGAAACAGAAAACAAACGAGACAAACGCGGCGAGTGGAAGATAAAAGAGAGAATACGATATACAATGAGCAACCGGGGCAAAATCGGCGTCGCCCCGTCGACGTTCGGCGAAGGCTTTGCGAGCGAAAAATGAACCATGTCGGGAGAATATGGCTAGTGTAGACAGTCTGTGCAACCGATATTGAGGTATTTTTCGAATATTTTTTATTATACCGAAAAAACAACCGGGGCATTGCCCCGGTTGGCCCTATTGACGCGCCGCCACTGCTTTTTACCCATTCCTTCAAATTGCCGTTGAAATTTTCGTGTAAACATTATGCAAGGTTGGGAACGCGACTTTTTCCGGAATTTTGATAATGTACAAGATAAATAATCTGAGGTAAATTCAATCAGTTTTTATTGTACTTAAACAAATTTTACTCCGTGAGATTCCATAGCAGACTTAGGGATTTTTCTGACCGTAACCGGTACATATCGTAATATGTAAATTAAAAAACCAAAATATGCCCGAATAGGTCAATAATGGATTACAGAAACAGAAAAAATATTATTCATGGAAAAGGCAGCTCATTTAACAAGTGCATTTACTAATATGCTTAATATGTATTTTTTATTTGTTTTCCCTTTTTTTTCAATGACGGTAACGAATTCGCAAGATCGCAAATATACGTATCAAAACTAAGGCAATTTATCTCATATTTTTATGTCCACAGATTGCCTAGTATTTTAGCGAGGTACTGTTATTATTTTGTCGTAAGAAGACACAACCGCGAGTTACGTTGATACCAAATAAATTATTATAGAATGACATTTTAGATTCTAGTAGTTGTCTATTGCTTTTTGGTTCAATTACTACATTTTCCCTATTCTTGAGTTTTAGCATTGATGTCTTAAATAGTATTGTCCTGACGTTGGTCAAATAACTTATCCTTTAATATTTCTTGAAATTAGATAGATAAGTAACTTTGCCAGAATCATATTGCGAAAGACCCCTCTAAAAATGTACAGAAATCTCCACTGGGAATTTAAACCATTGGCCGAGGCAGGTTTAAAAAATTTGTCAAAAACAATAAGATGAGGATTTAGCAAAGGCCTTCTTTGTGTACAACAAAGTAGGTGGTTATCAGTTCGCCTACATAAAAGGGAAAAAGAATAAATTTCGCGCCGTAGACCTTCAAACAACAGTGCGTCTGAGACGACTTTCGGGGCCGTGAAAATACTTATACATATAACCGTGAAAAAATACATATAACCGTTGTCAGGAGTTAGCTTTGATAGTCCTGAAAGAGAGTTTATGTGAAAATGCGAGATGATATTGACTTATAGTAAAATACGGGACCTCCAGAAGTATGCGCAGCAAAATGGCGCACAACATGAACATAGTATGTGTGTGTACCGGTTAGAATTCAGGTTGTACGACATCTTGGTGCGCATACTTCTGGAGCATCAAAATACGACTCACTTTGCCTTGTTGCATTTTCAGAAACGTCCAACGTAAAAGACCGAACCTCTACCCCATCCGGGACGTTAATATGATGAGATACCTTGACCGAATCGTCGCCGCGGTTGTCCATAGACACCCGGAACGTGTACATGGGAAGTTCGATGTCATCGTAACTCGAACTGCGACTGTTAACGCCAATAACCTCCAGGTTCATCTGAAATTTGTTAAAAAGTGAAATATGAAAATATTTATCAGTCGTTTTAGTGAACACTTTAATACATTGGTGTTACATAGTTTTTGCAGTTTCGATGTGCTTCTGGTAAACACGACTATGCATAGGTGACATCCACATTATATTGATGCAGCTTTATTGAACAAATTGGAAGGAGTGCCACTCAAATTTTGTAATGTTCAAATACGATTGTAGTAAGAACTATATTGCAACAATGCCTGTGGTTTTAGCAACCACTAAATGTGATTGTGGTAACAGGAAATTGCCTAGTTTTCATAGTGTTTAGACGTATTGTATTGTGTGTGGTTTCGTTGTGTAATAAACACAAGAATCATTATATACACGTTTTACAGAGGCTATTGTAGTGAACAATAAATATGCTATAAAATAAATTTGAAAACAGGAGCGAAACATAAGTAATATTGCTCCTTCGAAGTCGGACTCCGTTTTGAATTTTGGAGCAGAACAGATTCGTCGTCCAAAAATTTTGACTCCGCTCACCCCTGTATTGCATCGCATGTAAGATAGTATAAAATGAGCAGAGGCCTTCGTTGGAAAAAATCAAAATCTGAAATAATATGCGACTTACATCATTATTTGTTATCGATCTTTTCTTTATTCCATCGTTTTCTGCATTTGACGAAGCAATCACGAAAACACATGAGAAGGCGGCAAAGCCGAATAAAATCGCTTTTAGTGAAAGCATTTCACGACTGGCTTAAATCTACAGATAAAGAATAATTTTAAACATGTGAATGAATAAATTAGAAACCATGTAAGAGTGCATCACCGGCTATAACTTTTCTATTCTTTCCTTCTTCTGAATACTCCACTAATTAAACCATCTCTGAATAATTTCGGATCAAATTTTTCCATCATTTAGGCGCGCCTAAGCAAGTGTAATTTATTGAATAAAGACGGATATACAACAATTTCCGAATATACAATAATTTTTAGCAGAAAATGGTCAAAATCTTCAAAAAAAGAAACAACAAATTTTATTGGGAAAGTAGAATTTTTACTTTCAATTATTTAGTTATAAACACGTGAATGAATTGCTTCTGTTTCTCCTCTGACTACACCTTAGTAAGTTAAGCCAGAAAATATGGTAAACTGTATTCGAGGTCCAAGAAAATCGCAAGTCAAATGAAGTTTCAACTTCAACTCCGAGATTATATAGTTTGAAGAATAAAACGACATAAAAAAGAAGACGAATAAGAGGCGAGAAAAAGTTATGGAAAAAAATCACACACCATACCATACGCGTGGGGCGTGATCTGATTTCAAAATTTTGCAATTTTTATTCGAAACTTTAACTCATATTCCACCTCAGGAAGAAACTAAGCATAAAGTATGTAGAATAAGTTACAAGCCGATATATATTTCACAAATTAAAATATATATAGCTCATTACAATTATATAAAACATATTCATATAAAGTCGTGATGTTTAATTTTGGGACTATTTATTGCAGTAGCGTTAAAATATAAGTGAATTCAACTATTATAAAATAAAGTGCTTGATAATAAGATTGCAAATTTCCAATCAATATTTACCAACATCTTCAACTCGGGCGTTTGTTTGCCCGAAAACCTTTTCCCGGTGGTGGGTGTTTTTCAACCTAAGGTATACATTTCAAAATAATTACGATCACATCGAAGTTATCAACGAAAAATACATAATAAATATATACTTTAATTTTAATATATAGCACTGATTATCGTATACTGCAGAATTGAATAGGTATGGTACACGCAAGACCCGGTGTTAATAAATATGGACATACTCCAAGGCACAAGAACAAATTGTTTCTGGGGTGCTGCGGTCGAAATTCAATAACGTCCTTTGTTGAAAATTATCAAAAGTCAAACAAATATTTTCTGAACTATTTGTACAAGAAGACGCGTTTCTGAAAAACAAAGCTATCTTTCAAGATATTAATATTAAGCGAATATTAGTTGTGCAATGTCTGGAACTCTTATCTTTATGTCACTTGAAAGTTTAATTGGTTTTATAATAAACACTGAACACGCCATATTACGTAACTTATTATTACTGGAATAGCAGACCCGGGGTGCGTTAAATAACTTTTGTTGAGTCATTTAGCTGTGATATGTACTAACCCTCTCCAGACCCCTTCATAAGTTTGCGTATTTGGTGAAGCTAATCGTTTTCATATCGCACTTTTGAACATCTTAGCCACCTTGCCTCTTTCACGGGCAACTTGTGCCTCTAATTCTAAATCATGTCACTTATATTTTTCGAACTGCAATACCATTGTCTTTGTTATTTCATTTGTTTAGGAATCTGTTTATAATTCAATATAAGCAAAAAATTAGAATAAATGTTTAAAATAAATTAATTTTGCACTCCAGATATGCAATTGGGCTCATAACATCAGGAGTTTCACAAAGTTCATCCTAAATAATTTTAAAACTCGTTGCATCACCACAGGTGTCACGCACTGTGTGTACCTCTCTCTGCGCGATAGCGTTTTAAGAATACTTCTGCTGTGAGGTTGTTGTGGCAAATCTCATTTTTTTCAGAATATTCGAGTAAACGCCCCATTACACATTCATGTTATATATATACTTATTAAATGTAGCTAAGTTTTACATACCGCAAGTGGAAAATCGTAAGTAAGGTTACACTGTACATGGATGGATAGGAAATCAGTTGGTGTTTAAGGTTCCGTGAATAATGAAATTCGCATCAAAGAATATTTTGTGGCAGAGCTCTGCTTAAAAAACTATCATCAACCGTCTTGGACGACCTTGATATAGTTCTCAGAATACCGTATTTATTTCTAAAACGACTCTTTAATCGTATGTGATTGTGACTCGAAATTTGAGCTACGAATGACTTGGGCTTCCAATGTTGCAATTCCAATTTTTGTAATTTTTCCCTTTCCAGACGCTCAAGTTACACTTATTTTTCTGTCGTCGACGCCATTATGACACAAGATTGGCTATTTCTACAGAGTCCTCAGTTGCGAGCGGCTTTCTGTAAATCGATTATCGGGGCTTCCTTTGGTAGTCTGTGGTGCTCTATTTCATCCTCTATACTAGAGGAGAAACAGCACACTTATTCGGGCCGCTCGGAGATGGTGACTGGGCGACGCCTCCGTGGATGACCCAGAGCGCTTACCATCGTGATAACGTGTTGGCGGAGTAGGACGTGCCTGGTCGATAGGATAACCCTTATTCCTAAGGACCTGAAGGACAATAGGAATGACGTCGGGAACTGAAGACCCATCGCGATCGGCCGCATGCGAATCTATGCAGCCGTGATTGCACGTTGTCTTCAGTCTCGGGCAGCTAGAAGGAAAGTGATTTTGCCAGAGCAGAAGGGCTTTGTCTCTTCTGAAGGCGTCTTCGAGCATGTTTGCATGCTTGATTTGGTCATTGTGGTTTCCAAGAAACATATTCGTAATTTTTAGGGTTTTGTTTTTTATCAATTCTAAAAAAACATCGTGTTTTGAAACAAGGGCTTGTTTTAAATCAAATTTTTTCTGTATTTTTTTTATTGAAATCCCCCTTGCATCGCCGCGAAACTACGCCAAAACGTTGCATTCTGGCAGATGCACACGCAGCCGGAATTATAATTTCAAAAATGGAAGTAAAATTTTTTAATTTGACTTTTACTTCTATTGCGTACATTCATCGCCACGTTTGTATCTCCACCAAAGTCATAAGATTAGACCCGGAATGTTTAGCCGAGAAATCAGAAAGACGTTTTGAGTAAGAAAAATCATGAAATTTAGCTCACGAGCCTACTACAAAGGCAATTAGATCAAGTGCAGCCCTTTGGCAAAACGAGTGGGTTGCGATAATGAAGAATATGCTTATATCGGCGGTAATCTACTGATATAAACGACGAGACACCCTAGCCTAGCCTTTGCTAATTGTAGGAGTCCTCTAATGCAGAGACGCCACAACTAATCTGTTATGACGCCATAATATGGATTTCGAGTTCATTTATTGACATTTTCTCATAAAATGAAGGCATTATTACGGTTAATAGTAATACTGTTCGGTAAATTTATGCTTAGCAGCTTAGCATGCTTTGTTTTTAAGGTTGAAGTGGTAGAGTTTTTCAAGGTTATACAAACTCATTTATTCGTCGCATTTTCAATTTTCGCAAAGTGGTTTCATCGCAGCAGGGTCGTTCACATAATGGCTTATCGGTTGCGTCTTACTGCGCCAACCACTGAACTACAGCTTGGGAAGGTGTGCATGAGCTCTATCGATATTTGTGGCGTTTTGAAAGATTTATGCGAATAAAGAAGCGCTGACAAGTTTTTTACGTGCATTTTTCTTCACCTATTCAGTACGAAAAAATCGAATAGTACAGCCATTTTGAACAAAACAGGCAAAAAAAACTTGATTTAAAACAACTCTTTTAAAACAATTCTTTTTGAAAAAATCCCTAGTAATCTTTGTATGGCGTGGCTTGACGTCCGTAATGCTTCCAGGGCGGTTGGACATGGTGCCATTCTCGAAGCCCTGTGACATTTTGGTGCACCGGGCTACATGTTGGAAACCGTTGCTGACGTTTACATGGATAACGTGTTCACCATAAACTATCGATGGTGACACATCCCCTATTTTATCAGGTATAGGAGTTGGAAGTCCGTGATGATGGAAGTTTTTCTCCGGGGCGTCAAGACTTAGTGACAGTGTCGGCTAATTTGACTTCACCGTTTTTTCTGACACTGTATTCTTTTCTGTCTTATTTTTTTCATTCTTCTTGGTATTGGTGCGTTCGCGACTTGCGTATGTATTTCGTAATTAAATTAGTCATATTCGCCCGGTTGATTCGCACTAGTGGTTTCCATGGGTCGTTAGAGCATTAAATTAAGTCCACTGATCCTGTGGATAAAAATTAATTTGTTTGTATTTTATTCCTTTCTCAGCCACTTGCGTCCACAAATTCACGCTCGGCTATGGACTTGGACCCACATAAATGCTATATATATATATATTAGTTTATAACTCTAGCCTTAATTATCCCGATTTTAATTTGCAGCTGTTGCACCACTTTTCCACGGGAATTTATTTGTTTGATCATTTTTATTTTAATCTAATATTTTATCAAATTTTTTTCACTTACATTGTTTCAGAATTTCACCCAGTTTGATAGGGAAAAACAAGCGGTAGTTATAATTCAAATCGAGTTTTTTGAGATGCAATGCAATGAGGAAATATTATTGTATTTTTTTCGAGATAGGTATCACTGCTTGATTTTTATTATAAAAAGTATCATTCGTTCGGTTTTCAACTTTCTAAAAATATGTGAGGCCCGCCAATGACTTGCAACCAGTGGTGGGATTCAGCCGGTTTGCACCGGTTCTATACAACCGTCTCACGGAATTTTATGAGAGGAGCGAACCGGTTAGCATAACTGGTTACTGTCAATGTTCTGTTTGTAAGAACCGGCTGAAAAATATGACTTTTGTGAAGAAACCGGTTAGTTTGCTTGCGCCACAGTGTGAAAACGTGTGTTCCCGGTTTGCGTTTTCGGCATCGACTGCGTCTTTCAGAGTATTATACTGGAAAGCGATCATATTAGTTGAGTCTTTTCGATCGACTTTTGACATCATTTAAAAGAACAAGTATTTACATAAAATATTGCACTGAATAGACAGTATCTTGTCTCGTAGGACCTGCCTGCCCTCTTTCTCTTTGATAACTGATACCTTAAATTGATTGGTTTTAACCTACAACAAAACAACAACAAGACCACGTGGTGGGTCTCAGGGAGTTCTCCCGAAGCCGTTAGTTACGTTTATACTATGTCAATTACTCAAAACAACCCCTTTTTATTATGGCGCAAAATTCTCTATTTTCGGCCACCTGTGAACAAGGGAACAATTACGACTGTTTCTTCATTATGTGGGGGTTCGCACACCGTGCATTTTCGAAACGGCTTTAAATATTTACCTCATATAACGAAGTGCTAATCTTCATGTAATCTTCATAAAATGTTAAATTTCATTCGTTTTCAACGGAAAATCATTATGCAGTCATAATGGACTTATAGCAGGATTATAATATAACGTCATTTTTTTTTGCATTTGTGTACAATACAAATTTGTAGTATACAGTATATACTTACAATCACTCAAGTATTTCTGTTGATACCTTGGATATAAAAGCAATTTTAAAGAAGCTCAAAGCGTTAAAAATGGCAGAAAATGTGACATATTTCCCAATATTATACTCACAAGGGAATTAATTATTCTTTGTTACGCAATTTCATTAGACGTTTTGGATGAAATTACTTAAGTATTTGCAGTGGTTGCAATATCGAATATATTTCTGTTTCAGCCTTTTTTATTTTACGAAAATTTTTTCTCTGCGGCAATTCTATTCACGGCTGTTTCGTTGACAGTATTGAAGATTTGAGTTATCCCATGCCTATTTGAGGATCTGTCACAACAATAAATGCTTTTTACTACTATGCATTCTCCTAGATTTGCGAATATATCAGTAATCTTTTCACTTTTGCGGGAAGGGTTGCTTCAAATATACTTTTTTATTGAAGAATTTGCGTTTTCGTGCTGTAACTGTCTTTTAGTTTAATGTGGCTTTTTGGCTGTTTTGGTGTAAAACTTTTAATTTTGACAGTAAAAATGACACACATACTAGGCTACAAAGTTTATTTCGAATTAAAAATACAGAAGATCGATACAATTACTCTAGTGCTACAGATAATTAAAGTAAATATCTAGATTAATATCACTAGGTTAAAAAGCTACAGAAGACTACAGGATATTTGTACGTGACTTCGGAACTTGACCCTAATTTTAGGTCTTAGATTGATATTGTTACTTAGAATCCAGATAATCAATGTATCGACATTTAAATATGGATATTCGCAACATTATTCAATAATAGTCAAATCTTCATTAAATACATTTTAAGTCTATGACAATCTAAATAGCATGAAGTTGAAATAACAAAACATTGAGTCATGAAGCACGCTCCCTGCAAATTCAATGTTGATCTTTGTTGCCAATGGGTTGCCCTCTCTGTTGCCTCTTTGTCGATTTTGGCGACAGGTTCCGTCCTATGATATTGGAACCTCTCCCGTGTTCCCCGGCGCGATATCTCTTGATTAATTCTTGCCGATAAGGATCTGCATTTAAGGTGTTTGCTGGAGCAATAATTCTGGACGCCTGATTATCGCACTCTACTACTGAAAATTTCATAGAGAAACCTCTTTCACTAAACGAGCGGTCGCTGTGAAAATTCATGAATGCCGTCGAGGTTTCGGAAAGAATTTCAACACTGGGGGAATGAGACTGATCCCCGGTCATATGCACAAGTCTATTTGAAGGCTGATCCGGTGTACCGTCTCGTATTTCTAAATAGTCATAGGACATTTCGGTCAAGAAGTCGATTACTGTAAACAGAACACACTTTCCCGAAGAGGCATAGACTGTCCAGTAGCAATCGAGGTAGTCGTCATAATCACCAGGGTAGTTTGGTGATTGAACTATTCCATCGAGGAGGTAAATATCGGCGCCGCAGCTATTATGAACAATTGGAGGTTCTGGTTTATATCTGATGTTGAATCCGTAATTGGTGTTCTGCGAATTTGACACAAATCGAACAAAAGTGGAATTTGACGACATGTCTGCAGTGTAAGTGTACGGTGGTATGGAGTAGGACAGCAAGTGAGTAACCTTGCTGTCAATAGCTGGTCCGTCGTGAATGTACAAATAATCATCCGTTGCTAGTTCGAAAAACTCTATGACCAGTCGTACATAAGTACCGTCTGGGGTTTGGACGGAAAAACGGCAATCGAGATTGTTTTCGTAATAATCACCTGGATAACCTGGTGAAGATATGTATCCTGTGTAATTTGTCAAATATACTGTCTCAGAGCAAGTGCCTACCGCGGGTTCTGTCGGAACTTCAGGTATATTGGTCGTGTACAAGGATGGATCAGGATCTCCAGCATAAACATGGAAATAGAAACCTTTGTCTGTACCGACGCGATCTGACTGAAAATGTAAAGTTGCGTCAGGCGATGAAGTGGTAGCTACAAGGACGTGGTCTTCTATAAAACCTGTGAGTTGTACAATGAGATTAGACGAATCAGTCCCAAATCCGTTGTAAATTCTTACCCAGTCGTAATTATATTCAATAGAAAAGTAATGAACCCAAAATTTCATTGAGATGTAGCCAGGATACGTTTGTATTCTCCATTGACAGTCGACATCATTTGGATATGCATTCGGAACAATGTAACCTGGAGATAATATATCTGGAGCTCCCGTTAAATACTGTGTTCCATAACATTGTGGATTATAGGAAGAATCCGTTGTTGTTTCGACTGGGGTCGTTGTCGGTTCGTGATAAATAATTCCTTCATATGATATATTAAAACCGTTAGAGGGCGACGATGAAGAGTTTGAATTGAAAACGAGGAAGGCATTGTTCGATTTTGCATTTACGCTGTACCCACTTGAAACACTTCCGCACAGTGTAGCTAAAAGATCACCTGGGTTGGATGGTGTACCGTCGTATATGAATAGCCTGTCATAGTCATTTGTGTTGAAGTTGTCAACTGTAATTTCAACTCTCGTTGTATTCGATGTCTGAATTTCCCATGTGCAATTCATACCGTCATCATATGGTTCTGGGTAGTTGGGTGACAAAACAAAGCCTGAGTCCTCGCTTGATAATAGAACGGAACCGCATGGCATCGGTGTGGGTGGGATTGGAGGAATATTGACAAAAGTCGCTCTGAAACCGCTTCTAGAGATCAAGCAATCTGATGAGAAGCGAAGGAAAAGTGCGTTACCGGTACTCGCGATTGAAGAATCATTGCCTTCAATGACTCCGTCAAAAATTGCTAAAACATTAGAAAGAGACGTATTCATTCCATCGTATACAATCAAATGATCGCAACATTTCTCCGTTTCAAATTCTACTATGTCAAGGACGATTGTATGTCCTTCGGGATAGGCAATCATCCATGAAATGTCGGATCCGTTCGGATAGTTATCAGGGAAATTCGGAGTGGAAATTTCTCCAGACACTACATTGTCCCCCAGCACTAAAATGCGTGAATCCAGCATATGGAAGATTTTAGAATCAGCTTCCAAAACTTGATCCGGGTGATTGATATATGTCATTTTAGAAATGCCTTCTTCTCCCGGTTGTAGGCTGTACATTCCTCCAGTAGTCTGTGCTCTCTCTTGCTCCCTAGTGATTTGTCCGCCTATATAAATTGAAAAAAAAATATCAGAAGCGATTGTTTTTTTCTGATACGAACGCGAACGTCACACTTTTATCTTATATTAGCTTCGATATGATACGAAAATGTTTTCATAGGCATGGTGGTTAAAATAATTTTGACAACAAGAAGCACTTTCAATTTTTTCCAAATTAAATCGTTTTTGCGCATCAAGTCTGAACCTAGTTTAATGCAACGCTGTTGATTTAGGACTTCTTGTTGAAATCAATATGTAGAAAGTTGCGAATATGGCGAACCACTGACCCGCGGGTCACAAAGTGACCCGCCGCGTTTTATTCGTGACCCGCCAAGGCACGAATAAAATAAAAATAAAATGCTAACATATTAGTGATAAAAATTGATAAAACCAACAAATTAATCTAACAATTACTAAACTATTATAATGTACCGATAGGGCTGCGATCGCTCATATTCAAATTGTTAATGTCTGGGCCGGTATGGATATTCTCAAAACCCTCAATCTTGGACGCAAGTCTGCACCGCCGTGTACCTTTCTTCAGCTATTGGCTCTGATATCACTTATGACATAACAATGCAATTGATCTGTTTATTTCTCGCAACGTAGAGATAATACGAGAACTAGATGCCACTTAGCATTTTATTAGTTTCTCGCCTACAATGTCGCTGAGAAAACAAAATTTTTCAGACTTGAAATAAAAACCTAGAAATCTGAAATAACAACGGGGCAGTGCAAAGGTGCCTTAATGTGGTTGGAAACTGATCGAAAAATATACCACTATCAAAGTGGAATTTCCTCCAAACTCTTTGGAACAGTAACATAATTTGCCGCATCGTCCTAAACGTTTTTGGTAATTCATACGCGTGTTTTCGTACTTTAATTTCATAAAATCGAATGCCATAAAATATCCCTGATAGAAGTGCTGCATAAGTAAAGCCCAAAACTACACCAAAACCAACAGAAACCAATAAGATTTGTGTCAGAAAATTCTTGTAGATACAAACATTGATTAAATATATGTGACCCTTTACTCTTCTTTTACGCCATAAAAATATAATTTTCGACCCATTCATCGAAAAAGGTTCGCCATCCCTGCACTAGGCTTAAAGGAGACACGATCGATTTTCAAAAATTAGGTAGTTACAGCGCGCCTTATGGTCGTAAAATACCGTTGGGGCGTACTCGATGATTTATCTTCATATAAATAGACTTTGATAAAAGATTGACCAAGTGGCGCACTTTAGTAGCATGCCCTAACATTAATGTAATATAGTACAACGCTGATCCTTATTGCTTCATTTGAAAATTAAACACCTTCATTTCAGTAGAGGTTCATTTATAAAAGTACGGGGAGTTCCTCCTTTTGAAATTTAAGTTTACGAAATAGTCGGTATACCAGCATAGAGCAAAAATAAGATACTGTACTTGTTTTGTTGGAAAACAACACGTCTAAAAATAAAGAGAGCACTATATTTTATAAAGCAGTTGTTGCCTTTCTTTTCAGTTACAAGTACGTGTGAACACACATTTGTACAAGTATGCAGAGTAAAAGGCGAAATCACAGATTTTCAAATAATATCAATAATATTTATTAACGTATTTACTGAAAAAATTCTACTTAATTTATTCCTCAACCTAAAAAAATCAAGATTAATATCATACCTTAAGACAATTATACATAAATAATGAAAACGAACACTTCTTATTTATTTCTCTCACCATAATAGTAACTAAAAGTGTAAGAACGAATCTCCACACCGTCTGGCACCAAATTTTGTTGAGATATTCTCACTGAATCTTTGCCATTGTTCATCAATGATACTCGGAAGGTGTGTAATGGTAGTTCGGGTTCAACATACTCCGAACTCAGGCTGTTTACGACAATTCCGCCAATGCCCACCTGAAGAAGAATACAACAAATTATAGAACAAGATTACAGAAAATTAGGTTTACTTCCTCCGTCTAACTTAGTATTGTAATTTTACATTGATAAAATAAAACAGAATTCATTTCACTTGAAACATATTTTTGAGGGAACATTAATTTTGTGCAAAGCGTCCTTGTTTACTGAAACTTTTAGTTACAACCATGCATAAACGGAAGTTTCAGTGTTACATAAATATTCTTCATTTTCGTGATAATATTTAAAGAATTTAGGGTTTAGATTCCCAAGGTTGGAGATAAGTGGCTACGCTGTATTTATTAGTCAGAGTCAGCCAGCCAGAGTTATTTTATTTATCACTTCAAAAAACAAACAATTAACAACAAAATATCTGTAAGAAATAATTATTGGAATGACAGGTGCTGTGGAAGACGGAATGATCCGCCATTGAAGTTGTTTCATTTGTCAAAACAATCAATAACTTTGAAAATGTTAGGTTAGGAAATGTGTAAAAAATGTGAAAAAATAGAATTGTATTCAAAGAAAATAAGACTCCACACGAAAAAATAAATTATTAATGTGAATAGACATTTGATAAAGCTTTTACGAAGTACAGCATTTTTTCCTTGAAAAACAAAAATGCCATCGTCCCATCATTGATTCTCAACTTACTGTTTCGAGGTGGATAGAAATTTTATAATTTAATTTGATGGATATACAATCTTATAGAGTAGACATATAGGTTTATTCAATTAAATGGAATTTTTTTCAATTCTATGGATTGTGCAAACGGCTACTTTACAGATGACGCTGAATACTCTGGGAATACTAAAATTCAAAACTTTAGCACGCCTGAAGATGGGGAAAAGTTGTTGGAAAATTAAATGACGTATGACAACTTTTATACCAGGTAAATTTACAAAACACAACAACAAACGTTTCTACAAAGGATAGGTTGACTTCGTTCCAACAATGTTATAGCATTTCACATATATATTGAGTATTACCTCACTATTCGTAATAGCTCTTTTCCGTGTGCCACTAACTGTTGCAGTCGACAAATCAACTACAAATGCAAACACGGCACAGCCGAGCAACATTACTCTCAGGAAACCCATATTAAGGCTAGATTAGGTCTGTGAAGTTAATGATAATCGTTATCTCGAATGATTAAATCAATGATAACAAATGATAATAATTAATATATTTTCAGGATTGATCGTAGAATATGGAATAGCATTTTGAATAAAAATCAGCACATTCTAAAAGTAAGAATGTTGAATTTGATATTTTTACAATGAAATGCTGTTAAGTCAAATCATTTAAAATGACTCCTACGGGTTTGATTTCTTTAGACGACCACCACCTAAGCAAAACAGGAGCAAAAAATTTAGTCTCAATTTAGTACTCATTTTGGATAATTTATGAACACTGAATAAATGTTAGATTGCATTACATATAAACGGCTCTTGATCTTCATTTCAAGATTCCAATTAAAAATTTATCAAAGGAAAAAAAACTATTTTAATCAAGTTTTAGTGACATTTTAAAATTGGATCGACCTCATCAAAAACATTTTTAAAGTAGACGAAGATCATAACGAGTTGTCTTCATATAAAGAGTGCATTTCTATTTGGCCGGGTCAAAACTCAAAGATGCGGGGGGTCAAGACAAGTCGAGTCAAGTTTATTTTTTCTAACCAGTAAAAATATAACAATCATAAATTACGACAAAAATATAATTTACTCAGTTTTACTGGGGAAGGAAAGTCGCGGGAAATCAAACTGGTTATCGAGCAGCGACACCTAAAGTTCTAATATCTAATTAAAAAAGTATAAATCAGAACCTTGGGAGTCGCCGCTCGATAACCCGTTTGGTTCCCCGCGACTTCCCTCCCCAAGTAAAATTGGGGTAAAACGGTTTATACTTAAAATATACTTTAAATGTGACGTTTTTGAGATGTAACAATCTTATTGTGGCTTTTAGATGGATCAAAAACTAAAAATCTGTTGGATCTATATCACGTAATTTTGACAGTAAAAATGACACACATACTAGAATACATGGTTTATTTCGAATTAAAAATACAGAAGATCGATACAGTTACTAGAGTGCTACAGGTAATTAAAGTAAATATATTCTAGAATTTAGAGTAATATCACTAGGTTAAAAAGCTACAAGAAACTACAGGATGTTTGGACGAGACTTCGGAACTTGACTCTAATTTAGGTCTTGGATTGATATTGTTTCTTAAATAATTAATCAGTATATCGACATTCAAATATAGATATTCCTAACATTTTTCAAAGTCAAATCTCCATAGAATACATTTCAGTCAATATTAATCTAAATAGCACAGAGTTGAAATTGCAAAACATTGAGTCATGTAGCAAGCCCCGTGTAAATTCAATGTTAATCTTTGTTGTCAATGGGTCGCCCGCTTTCTTGTCTGTTTGTTGACTTTGGCCACAGATTTCGACCTATGATATTGGAACCTGTCTCGTGTTCCCTGACGCGATTTTTCTCGTTTGATTCCTGCCGATAACGATCTACATTCAAGGTGTTTGTTGGAGCAATACTTCTCGACGGCGACACCTGATAATCGCAATTTACTTCAGAAAATTTCATGGAGAATCCTCTTTTGGTAATAGAGCTATCGCTATAGAAATTCATGAATGCCGTTGAGGTTGTAGACAGAATTTCAGCGTTGGGGAAGTGATAGTCATCTCCGCTGATATGCGCAAGTCGATTAGGAGATGGGTGACTTGGTGTACCGTCTCTTATATCTACATAGTCATGGTAAGTTTCGGTCATGAAGTCGATTACTGTAAACAAAACACACTTTCCCGCAGAGGCATAGACTGTCCAGTAGCAATCAAGGAGGTCCGCATAACCATTAGGGTAATTTGGTGATTGAACTATTCCATCGAGGTTGTAAATATCTGCCCCGCAGCTATCATACACAATTGGCGGTTCTGGTTTATATCTGATGTTGAATCCGTAATCAGTGTTCTGCGAATTTGACACGAATTGAACAAGAGCGGAATTTGACGACATGTCTGCACTGTTAGTGTACGGTGGGATGTGTCCGTTCAGTGTGTGAGTAACCTTGCTGTTGACAGCTGTTCCGTCGTAAAAGTACAAATATTCATCCGTTGCCAGTTCGAAAAACTCTATGGTCATTCGTACAAAAGTACCTGGTGGGGTTTGGATGGAAAATCGACAGTCGAGATCGTTTTCGTATTGATCACTTGGATAACCTGGTGAAGATATGTATCCTGTGTAATTTGTCAAATAAACTGTCTCAGAGCAAGTGCCTGCCGCGGGTTCTGTCGGAACTTCAGGTACATTGGTCGTGTACAAGGATGGATCAGGATCCCCAGCATAAACATGGAAATAGAAACCTTTGTCTGTACCGACGCGATCTGACTGAAAATGTAAAGTTGCGTCAGGCGATGAAGTGGTAGCTACAAGAACGTGGTCTTCTATAAAACCTGTGAGTTGTACAATAAGATTAGACGAATCAGTCCCAAATCCGTTGTAAATTCTTACCCAGTCATAATTATATTCAATCGAAAAGTAATGAACCCAAAATTTCATTGAGATGTAGCCAGGATATGTTTGTATTCTCCATTGACAGTCGACATCATTTCGATATGCATTCGGAACAATGTAACCTGGTGATAATATATCTGGAGCTCCCGTTAAATACTGTGTTCCATAACATTGTGGATTATAGGAAGAATCAGTTGTTGTTTCGACTGGGGTCGTTGTCGGTTCGTGATAAATAACTCCTTCATATGATATATTAAAACCGTTAGAGGGCGACGATGAAGAGTTTGAATTGAAAACAAGGAAGGCATTGTTCGAGTTTGCATTTACGCTGTATCCACTTGAAACACTTCCGTACAGTGTAGCTAAAAGATCACCTTGGTTGGATAGTGTACCGTCGTATATGAATAGCCTGTCATAGTCATTTGTGTTGAAGTTGTCAACTGTAATTTCAACTCTCGTTGTATTCGATGTCTGAATTTCCCATGTGCAATTCATACCGTCATCATATGCTTCTGGGTAGTTGGGTGACAAAACAAAGCCTGAGTCCTCGCTTGATAATAGAACGGAACCGCATGGCATAGGTGTGGGTGGGATTGGTGGAATATTGACAAAATTCGCTCTGAAACCGCTTCTAGAGATCAAGCAATCTGATGAGAAGCGAAGGAAAAGTGCGTTACCGGTACTCGCGATTGAAGAATCATTGCCTTCAATGTCTCCGTCGAAAATTGCTAAAACATTAGAAAGAGACGTATTCATTCCATCGTATACAATCAAATGATCGCAACATTTCTCCGTTTCAAATTCTACTATGTCAAGGACGATTGTATGTCCTTCGGGATAGGCAATCATCCATGAAATGTCGGATCCGTTCGGATAGTTATCAGGGAAATTCGGAGTGGAAATTTCTCCAGACACTACATTGTCCCCCAGCACTAAAATGCGTGAATCCAGCATATGGAAGATTTTAGAATCAGCTTCCAAAACTTGATCCGGGTGATTGATATATGTCATTTTAGAAATGCCTTCTTCTCCCGGTTGTAGGCTGTGCATTCCTCCAGTAGTCTGTGCTCTCTCTTGCTCCCTAGTGATTTGTCCGGCTATATAAATTTAAAAAAAAAATCAGAAGCGATTGTTTTTTTTCTGGTACGAACGCGAACGTCACACTTTTATCTTATATTAGCTTCGATATGATACGAAAATGTTTTTATAGGCATGGTAGGTAAAATATTTTCGACAACAAGGAGCACTTCTAATTTTTCCAAAATAAATCGTTTTTGCGCATTAAGTCTGAAGACTCTGAACCCAGTTTAATGCAACTCTGTTGATTTAGGACTTCTTGTTGAAATCAATATGTATAATGTTTGGAAAGTGTTTTTTAACTATTCATCAAACTGACTTACAACGTATAGAAATTTTTGCCAAAACAAAAATACGATCCTCATCCAACTTATTGCTTATCATGCTCGAATACAGTAGACTTTTTTACGAAATCAAGAGAAATATTCTATTGTACAGCGCATTCTACCAATCCCATCACTCAATTCTAGGCATTTTATATATACATGTTTTTCGCTTTTAGTTCTTACTTTGTTTGAAAATTTGCAGAATCTTGTGATCTCCGTTTATATTGTATGTTTTGGCACCAGTTAAAGATTAACACATGAATGCGGTCGAAATTGTCCAATACCCCATCTTGCAAAACTATTACCGTATTTTACGGAGCATAAGGCGCATCGGGCTTTAGGACGCGCTGTCAATAAATTGCTGAAGTATGGTTTTCTCCACACATAAGCCTCACCGGTCTATGAGGCGCAACCGGTACTGTACTGGTTTCAAGTGTAGGCAATAAAGCACTACCTGATCTATGCACTAGGCTTAACGGACACACGATCTATTTTCGAAAATTAAGTACCGGTAGTGACAGCGCGCCTTATGGTCCTAAAATACCGTTGGGGCGTACTCGATGAATTATCGTTCATATAAATAGACTTTGATAAAAGATTGGCCAAGTGGCGCACTTCAGTAGCATGCCCTAACATTAATGTAATATATAGTACAACGCTGATCCTTGTGGCTTCATTTCAGTAGAGGTTCATTTATAAAAGTACGGGGAGTTCCTCCTTTTGAAATTTAAGTTCACGGAATAGTCGGTATACCAGCATAAAGCAAAAATAAGATACTGTACTTGTTTTGTTGGAAAACAACACGTCTAAAAATAAAGAGAGCACTATATTTTACAAAGCAGTTGTTGCTTTTCATTTCAGATACAAGTACGTGTGCACACACATTTGTACAGGTATGCAGAGTAAAACGCGAAATCACAGATTTTCAAGTAACATCAATAATATTTATTAACGTATTTACTAAAAAAAAATTAGTTAATTTATTCCTCGACCTAAAAATCAAGTTAAAATCATAATTTAAGACCATGAATGAACATGTCTTATTTATTTCTCTCACCATAATAGTAGCTGAAAGTGTAAGAACGAATCTCCACACCGTCTGGCACCAAATTTTGTTGAGATATTCTCACTGAATCTTCGCCATTGTTCAACATTGATACTCGGAAGGTGTGTAATGGTAGTGCGGGTTCAACATACTCCGGACCCTGGCTGTTTACGACAATTCCGCCAATGCCAGCCTGCAGAAGAATGCCACAAATTATAAAGCAAGAACAGAAAATTGAGTTTACTTCTTCTGTCTAACCTAATATTGTAATTGTAAATTAATAAATATAAAACAGAATTCATTTCACTTGAAACCTATTTTTGAGAGAGCATTAATTTTATACAAAGCGTCCTAGTTTACTGAAACTTTTAGTTACAACCATACATAAACGGAATATTTAGTGTTTCATAAATATTCTTCATTTTCGTTATAATATTTAAAGAATTTAAGGTTTAGATTTTAAGGTTGGAAATAAGGGGCTACGCTGTATTTATTAGTCAGAGTCAGTCAGAGTTATTTTATTTATCACTTCAAAATTCAAACAATTAACAACAAAATATCTGTAAGAAATAAATATTGGAATGACAGGTGCTGTGAAAGACGGAATGATCCGCCATTGGAGTTGTTTCATTTGTCAAAACAATCAATAACTTCGGAAATGTTAACTTAGGAAATGTGTAAAAATTGTGAAAAAATAGAATTTCATTCAAAGAAAATAAGATTTTATACAAAAAAATAAATTATCAATGTGAATAGACATTTGATAAAGCTTTCACGAAGTACAGTATTTTCCTTGAAAAACAAAAATGCCATCGTCCCATCATTGATCTTCAACTTACTGTTTCGAGGTGGATAGAAATTTTGTTATTGAATTTGATGGATATACAATTTTAGAGACATATAGGTTTATTCAATTAAATGGAATTTTTTTTTTATTCCTATGGGTTGTGCAAACGGCTAGCACGCCTGAAGATGGGGAAAAGTTGTTGGAAAATGAAGTTACGTATGACAACTTTTATACCAGGTAAATTTACAAAACACAACAACAAACGTTTCTACAAATGATAGGTTGACTTCGTTCCAACAATGTTATCGTTAAAATTTCAAATTCGTGATATACGTAGAACACATAGATGAGAAAGTTACGATTAAGGTGTCGGTTCGTAGAAAGTCGGTAAGTTGATAAAACATCTTGGGTTCCATTCAAAGTTAGAAATATAATGCAATCGTATAAAAATATTATCAGTATGGATACTTTTAACGAAAAATCGTTTTTGTTTCTCATATTTTATATATGAACTACGAAATATAGCATTTCACATATATATTGAGTCTTACCTCACTATCCGTAATAGCTCTTTTCCTTATGCCACTAACTGTTGCAGTCGACAAATCAACTACAAATGCAGATGCAAACACGGCACAGCCGAGCAAGTGCATATTTTATATATGAACTACGAAATATAGCATTTCACATATATATTGAGTCTTACCTCACTATCCGTAATAGCTCTTTTCCTTATGCCACTAACTGTTGCAGTCGACAAATCAACTACAAATGCAGATGCAAACACGGCACAGCCGAGCAATATTACTCTAAGAAAACCCATATTAAGACTAGATTAAGTCTGTGAAGTAAATGATAATCGTTTTCTTGAATGATTAAATCAATGACAACAAATGATAATTAATATATTTTCAGGGTTGATCGTAGAATATAGAATCGCTTTTTGAATAAAAATCAGCCATTCTTAAAGTAAAAATGTTGAAATCGATATTTTTACAATAAATGCTGTTGAATCAAATTATTCAAAATGAATCATACGGGTTTGATTTCTTCAGACGACTGCCACATAAGCAGAACAGGAGCGAAAAAGTTAGTCAGTACTCATTTTGGATAACTTATGCACACTAGATAAATATTAGATTGCATTGCATATAAACGGCTATTGATCTTCATTTCAAAATCCCAATTAAAAATTTATCAAAGAAAAAACACTATTTCAATCAAGTTTTAATGACATTTTAAAATTGGATCGACATCATCAAAAATTTTTTGAAAATAGATGGAGATCATAACGATTTGTCTTTATATAAAGAGTGCATTCGTATTTGGCCGGGTCAAAACTTAAAGATGCGGGGGGTCAAGACAAGTCGAGTCAAGTTTATTTTTTCCAACCAATAAAAATATAACAATCATAAAAACGACAAAAATATAATTTACACAGTTTTACTGGGGAAGGGAAGTCGCGGAAATCAAACTGGTTATCGAACGGCGAGACCCAAGGTTCTAATATCTAATTAAAAAAGTATGAATCAGAACCTTGGGTGTCGCCGCTCGATAACCAGTTTGGTTCCCCGCGACTTCCCTTCCCCAGTGAAACTGGGGTAAAACGGTTCTACTTTAAATGAAGCGTTTTTGAGATGTAACAATCTTATTGTGGCTTTTAGATGGATCAAAAACAAAAATTCTGTTGGGTCTATATCACGTAATTTTTACAGTAAAACTGACACACATACTAGGATACATAGTTTATTTCGAATTGAAAATACAGAAGATTGATAGATACAATTACTAAAGTGCTATAGGTAAGTGAAGTAAATATCTAGAGTAATATCATTAGGTTAAAAAGCTACGAGAGACTAAAGGAAATTTGTACGTGACTTCGGAACTTGACTTAAATTTTAGGTCTTAGATTGATATTGTTACTTAGAATTCAGATAATCAATGTATCGACATTTAAATATGGATATTCGCAACATTATTCAGCTATAGTTAAATCTTCATTGAATACATTTTTTAGTCTATATTAATCTAAATAGCATGAAGTTGAAATAACAAAACATTGAGTCATGAAGCACGCTCCGTGCTAATTCAATGTTGATCTTTGTTGCCAATGGGTTGCCCTCTCTGTTGCCTGTTTGTCGATTTTGGCGACAGGTTTCGTCCTATGATATTGGAACCTCTCCCGTGTTCCCCGGCGCGATTTCTCTTGATTAATTCTTGCCGATAAGAATCTGCATTTAAGGTGTTTGCTGGAGCAATAATTCTGGACGCCTGATTATCGCACTCTACTACTGAAAATTTCATAGAGAAACCTCTTTCGCTAACCGAGCCGTCGCTGTAGAAATTCATGAATGCCGTCGAGGTTTCGGAAAGAATTTCAACACTGGGGGAATGAGACTGATCCCCGCTCATATGTACAAGTCTATTTGGAGAAGGTTGATCCGGTGTACCGTCTCGTATATCTACATAGTCACAGCACATTTCGGTCAAGAAGTCGATTACTGTAAACAAAACACACTTTCCCGAAGAGGCATAGACTGTCCAGTAGCAATCAAGGTCGTCCGCATAATCACCAGGGTAGTTTGGTGATTGAACTATTCCATCGAGGAGGTAAATATCGGCGCCGCAGCTTTTATAAACAATTGGAGGTTCTGGTTTATATCTGATGTTGAATCCGTAATTAGTGATCTGCGAATTTGACACAAATCGAACAAAAGCGGAATTTGACGACATGTCTGCAGTGTAAGTGTACGGTGGTATGAAGTAGGACAGCAAGTGAGTAACCTTGCTGTCAATAGCTGGTCCGTCGTGAATGTACAAATAATCATCCGTTGCTAGTTCGAAAAACTCTATGACCAGTCGTACATAAGTACCGTCTGGGGTTTGGACGGAAAAACGGCAATCGAGATTGTTTTCGTAATAATCACCTGGATAACCTGGTGAAGATATGTATCCTGTGTAATTTGTCAAATATACTGTCTCAGAGCAAGTTCCTACCGCGGGTTCTGTCGGAACTTCAGGTATATTGGTCGTGTACAAGGATGGATCAGGATCCCCAGCATAAACATGGAAATAGAAACCTTTGTCTGTACCGACGCGATCTGACTGAAAATGTAAAATTGCGTCAGGCGATGAAGTGGTAGCTACAAGAACGTGGTCTTCTATAAAACCTGTGAGTTGTACAATGAGATTAGACGAATCAGTCCCAAATCCGTTGTAAATTCTTACCCAGTCGTAATTATATTCAATAGAAAAGTAATGAACCCAAAATTTCATTGAGATGTAGCCAGGATACGTTTGTATTCTCCATTGACAGTCGACATCATTTGGATATGCATTCGGAACAATGTAACCTGGAGATAATATATCTGGAGCTCCCGTTAAATACTGTGTTTCATAACATTGTGGATTATAGGAAGAATCAGTTGTTGTTTCGACTGGGGTCGTTGTCGGTTCGTGATAAATAATTCCTTCATATGATATATTAAAACCGTTAGAGGGCGACGATGAAGAGTTTGAATTGAAAACAAGGAAGGCATTGTTCGATTTTGCATTTACGCTGTACCCACTTGAAACACTTCCGCACAGTGTAGCTAAAAGATCACCTGGGTTGGATGGTGTACCGTCGTATATGAATAGCCTGTCATAGTCATTTGTGTTGAAGTTGTCAACTGTAATTTCAACTCTCGTTGTATTCGATGTCTGAATTTCCCATGTGCAATTCATACCGTCATCATATGGTTCTGGGTAGTTGGGTGACAAAACAAAGCCTGAGTCTTCGCTTGATAATAGAACGGAACCGCATGGCATCGGTGTGGGTGGGATTGGAGGAATATTGACAAAAGTCGCTCTGAAACCGCTTCTAGAGATCAAGCAATCTGATGAGAAGCGAAGGAAAAGTGCGTTACCGGTACTCGCGATTGAAGAATCATTGCCTTCAATGACTCCGTCAAAAATTGCTAAAACATTAGAAAGAGACGTATTCATTCCATCGTATACAATCAAATGATCGCAACATTTCTCCGTTTCAAATTCTACTATGTCAAGGACGATTGTATGTCCTTCGGGATAGGCAATCATCCATGAAATGTCGGATCCGTTCGGATAGTTATCAGGGAAATTCGGAGTGGAAATTTCTCCAGACACTACATTGTCCCCCAGCACTAAAATGCGTGAATCCAGCATATGGAAGATTTTAGAATCAGCTTCCAAAACTTGATTCGGGTGATTGATATATGTCATTTTAGAAATGCCTTCTTCTCCCGGTTGTAGGCTGTACATTCCTCCAGTAGTCTGTGCTCTCTCTTGCTCCCTAGTGATTTGTCCGCCTATATAAATTGAAAAAAAAATATCAGAAGCGATTGTTTTTTTCTGATACGAACGCGAACGTCACACTTTTATCTTATATTAGCTTGGATATGATACGAAAATGTTTTCATAGGCATGGTGGTTAAAATAATTTTGACAACAAGAAGCACTTTCAATTTTTCCAAATTAAATCGTTTTTGCGCATCAAGTCTGAACCTAGTTTAATGCAACGCTGTTGATTTAGGACTTCTTGTTGACATCAATATGTAGAAAGTTGCGAAAGTGTTGATCTTGTGATCTCCGGTTATATTGTATGTTTTGGCACCAGTTAAAGATTAACACATGAATGCGGTCGAAATTGTCCAATACCCCATCTTGCAAAACTATTACCGTATTTTACGGAGCATAAGGCGCATCGGGCTTTAGGACGCGCTGTCAATAAATTGCTGAAGTATGGTTTTCTCCACACATAAGCCTCACCGGTCTATGAGGCGCAACCGGTACTGTACTGGTTTCAAGTGTAGGCAATAAAGCACTACCTGATCTATGCACTAGGCTTAACGGACACACGATCTATTTTCGAAAATTAAGTAGTGACAGCGCGCCTTATGGTCCTAAAATATCGTTGGGGCGTACTCGATGAATTATCGTCATATAAATAGACTTTGATAAAAGATTGGCCAAGTGGCGCACTTCAGTAGCATACCCTAACATTAATGTAATATATAGTACAACGCTGATCCTTATTGCTTCATTTCAGTAGAGGTTCATTTATAAAAGTACGGGGAGTTCTTCCTTTTGAAATTTAAGTTCACGGAATAGTCGGTATACCAGCATAAAGCAAAAATAAGATACTGTACTTGTTTTGTTGGAAAACAACACGTCTAAAAATAAAGAGAGCACTATATTTTACAAAGCAGTTGTTGCTTTTCATTTCAGATACAAGTACGTGTGCACACACATTTGTACAGGTATGCAGAGTAAAACGCGAAATCACAGATTTTCAAGTAACATCAATAATATTTATTAACGTATTTACTAAAAAAAAATTAGTTAATTTATTCCTCGACCTAAAAATCAAGTTAAAATCATAATTTAAGACCATGAATGAACACTTCTTATTTATTTCTCTCACCATAATAGTAGCTGAAAGTGTAAGAACGAATCTCCACACCGTCTGGCACCAAATTTTGTTGAGATATTCTCACTGAATCTTCGCCATTGTTCAACATTGATACTCGGAAGGTGTGTAATGGTAGTGCGGGTTCAACATACTCCGAACCCTGGCTGTTTACGACAATTCCGCCGATGCCAGCCTGCAGAAGAATGCCACAAATTATAAAGCAAGATTACAGAAAATTGAGTTTACTTCTTCTGTCTAACCTAATATTGTAATTGTAAATTACTAAAAATAAAACAGAATTCATTTCACTGAAACCTATTTTTGAGAGAGCATTAATTTTGTACAAAGCGTCCTAGTTTACTGAAACTTTTAGTTACAACCATACATAAACGGAATTTTTAGTGTTTCATAAATATTCTTCATTTTCGTTATAATATTTAAAGAATTTAAGGTTTAGATTTTAAGGTTGGAAATAAGGGGCTACGCTGTATTTATTAGTCAGAGTCAGTCAGAGTTATTTTATTTATCACTATATGACAAAAATCAAACAATTAACAACAAAATATCTGTAAGAAATAAATATTGGAATGACAGGTGCTGTGAAAGACGGAATGATCCGCCATTGGAGTTGTTTCATTTGTCAAAACAATCAATAACTTCGGAAATGTTAACTTAGGAAATGTGTAAAAATTGTGAAAAAATAGAATTTCATTCAAAGAAAATAAGATTTTACACAAAAAAATAAATTATCAATGTGAATAGACATTTGATAAAGCTTTCACGAAGTACAGTATTTTCCTTGAAAAACAAAAATGCCATCGTCCCATCATTGATCTTCAACTTACTGTTTCGAGGTGGATAGAAATTTTGTTATTGAATTTGATGGATATACAATTTTATAGACATATAGGTTTATTCAATTAAATGGAATTTTTTGTTTATTTCTATGGGTTGTGCAAACGGCTACTTTACAGATGACGCTGAATACTCTGGGAATACTAAAATTCAAAACTTTAGCACGCCTGAAGATGGGGAAAAGTTGTTGGAAAATGAAGTTACGTATGGCAACTTTTATACCAGGTAAATTTACAAAACACAACAACAAACGTTTCTACAAATGATAGGTTGACTTCGTTCCAACAATGTTATCGTTAAAATTTCAAATTCGTGATATACGTAGAACACATAGATGAGAAAGTTCCGATTAAGGTGTCGGTTCGTAGAAAGTCGGTAAGTTGATAAAACAACTTTGGTTCCATTCAAAGTTAGAAATATAATGCAATCGTATAAAAATATTATCAGTATGGATACTTTTAACGAAAAATCGTTTTTGTTTCTCATATTTTATATATGAACTACGAAATATAGCATTTCACATATATATTGAGTCTTACCTCACTATCCGTAATAGCTCTTTTCCTTATGCCACTAACTGTTGCAGTCGACAAATCAACTACAAATGCAGATGCAAACACGGCACAGCCGAGCAATATTACTCTCAGAAAACTCATATTAAGACTAGATTAAGTCTGTGAAGTAAATGATAATCGTTTTCTTGAATGATTAAATCAATGACAACAAATGATAATTAATATATTTTCAGGGTTGATCGTAGAATATAGAATAGCTTTTTGAAAAAAAATCAGCCATTCTTAAAGTAAAAATGTTGAAATCGATATTTTTACAATAAATGCTGTTGAATCAAATTATTCAAAATGAATCATACGGGTTTGATTTCTTCAGACGACTGCCACATAAGCAGAACAGGAGCGAAAAAGTTAGTCAGTACTCATTTTGGATAACTTATGCACACTAGATAAATATTAGATTGCATTGCATATAAACGGCTATTGATCTTCATTTCAAAATCCCAATTAAAAATTTATCAAAGAAAAAACACTATTTCAATCAAGTTTTATTGACATTTTAAAATTGGATCGACATCATCAAAAAATTTTTGAAAATAGATGGAGATCATAACGATTTGTCTTTATATAAAGAGTGCATTTGTATTTGGCCGGGTCAAAACTTAAAGATGCGGGGGGTCAAGACAAGTCGAGTCAAGTTTATTTTTTCCAACCAATAAAAATATAACAATCATAAAAACGACAAAAATATAATTTACACAGTTTTACTGGGGATGGGAAGTCGCGGGAAATCAAACTGGTTATCGAACGGCGAGACCCAAGGTTCTAATATCTAATTAAAAAAGTATGAATCAGAACCTTGGGTGTCGCCGCTCGATAACCAGTTTGTTCCCCGCGACTTCCCTTCCCCAGTAAAACTAGGGTAAAACGGTTCTACTTTAAATGAAGCGGTTTTGAGATGTAACAATCTTATTGTGGCTTTTAGATGGATCAAAAACAAAAATTCTGTTGGGTCTATATCACGTAATTTTTTCAGTAAAAATGACACACATACTAGGATACATAGTTTATTTCGAATTGAAAATACAGAAGATTGATAGATACAATTACTAGAGTGCTATAGGTAAGTGAAGTAAATATCTAGAGTAATATCATTAGGTTAAAAAGCTACGAGAGACTACAGGAAATTTGTACGTGACTTCGGAAGTTGACTTAAATTTTAGGTCTTAGATTGATATTGTTACTTAGAATTCAGATAATCAATGTATCGACATTTAAATATGGATATTCGCAACATTATTCAGCTATAGTTAAATCTTCACTGAATACATTTTTTAGTCTATATTAATCTAAATAGCATGAAGTTGAAATAACAAAACATTGAGTCATGAAGCACGCTCCGTGCTAATTCAATGTTGATCTTTGTTGCCAATGGGTTGCCCTCTCTGTTGCCTGTTTGTCGATTTTGGCGACAGGTTTCGTCCTATGATATTGGAACCTCTCCCGTGTTCCCCGGCGCGATTTCTCTTGATTAATTCTTGCCGATAAGGATCTGCATTTAAGGTGTTTGCTGGAGCAATAATTCTGGACGCCTGATTATCGCACTCTACTACTGAAAATTTCATAGAGAAACCTCTTTCGCTAACCGAGCCGTCGCTGTAGAAATTCATGAATGCCGTCGAGGTTTCGGAAAGAATTTCAACACTGGGGGAATGAGACTGATCCCCGCTCATATGCACAAGTCTATTTGGAGAAGGTTGATCCGGTGTACCGTCTCGTATATCTACATAGTCACAGCACATTTCGGTCAAGAAGTCGATTACTGTAAACAAAACACACTTTCCCGAAGAGGCATAGACTGTCCAGTAGCAATCAAGGTCGTCCGCATAATCACCAGGGTAGTTTGGTGATTGAACTATTCCATCGAGGAGGTAAATATCGGCGCCGCAGCTTTTATAAACAATTGGAGGTTCTGGTTTATATCTGATGTTGAATCCGTAATTAGTGATCTGCGAATTTGACACAAATCGAACAAAAGCGGAATTTGACGACATGTCTGCAGTGTAAGTGTACGGTGGTATGAAGTAGAACAGTGAGTGAGTAACCTTGCTGTCGATATCTGGTCCGTCGTGAATGTACAAAACGTCGTTGTATTCCAGTTCGAAGAACTCTATGACCAGTCGTACAAAAGTACCTGGTGGGGTTTGGACGGAAAATCGACAGTCGAGATCGTTTTCGTATTGATCACCTGGATACCCTGGTGAAGATAGGTATCCTGTGTAATTTGTCAAATAAACTGTCTCAGAGCAAGTGCCTGCCGCGGGTTCTGTCGGAACTTCAGGTACATTGGTCGTGTACAAGGATGGATCAGGATCTCCAGCATAAACATGGAAATAGAAACCTTTGTCTGTACCTACCCGATCTGACTGAAAATGTAAAGTTGCGTCAGGCGATGAAGTGGTAGCTACAAGAACGTGGTCTTCTATAAAACCTGTGAGTTGTACAATAAGATTAGACGAATCAGTCCCAAATCCGTTGTAAATTCTTACCCAGTCGTAATTATATTCAATCGAAAAGTAATGAACCCAAAATTTCATTGAGATGTAGCCAGGATATGTTTGTATTCTCCATTGACAGTCGACATCATTTCGATATGCATTCGGAACAATGTAACCTGGAGATAATATATCTGGAGCTCCCGTTAAATACTGTGTTCCATAACATTGTGGATTATAGGAAGAATCAGTTGTTGTTTCGACTGGGGTCGTTGTCGGTTCGTGATAAATAACTCCTTCATATGATATATTAAAACCGTTAGATGGCGACGATGAAGAGTTTGAATTAAAAACAAGGAAGGCATTGTTCGAGTTTGCATTTACTCTGGACCCACTTGAAACACTTCCGTACAGTGTAACTAAAAGATCACCTGGGTTGGATGGTGTACCGTCGTATATGAATAGCCTGTCATAGTCATTTGTGTTGAAATTGTCAACTGTAATTTCAACTCTCGTTGTATTCGATGTCTGAATTTCCCATGTGCAATTCATACCGTCATCATATGGTTCTGGGTAGTTGGGTGACAAAACAAAGCCTGAGTCCTCGCTCGATAATAGAACGGAACCGCATGGCATCGGTGTCGGTGGGATTGGTGGAATGTTGACAAAAGTCGCTCTGAAACCGCTTCTAGAGATCAGGCAATCTGATGAGAAGCGAAGGAAAAGTGCGTTACCGGTACTCGCGATTGAAGAATCATTGCCTTCAATGATCCCGTCGAAAATTGCTAAAACATTAGAAAGAGACGTATTCATCCCATCGTATACAATCAAATGATCGCAACATTTCTCCGTTTCAAATTCTACTATGTCAAGGTCGATTGTATGTCCTTCGGGATAGGCAATCATCCATGAAATGTCGGATCCGTTCGGATGAATATCAGGGAAATTCGGAGTTGAAATTTCTCCAGACACTACATTGTCCTCCAGCACTAAAATGCGTGAATCCAGCATATGGAAGATTTTAGAATCAGCTTCCAAAACTTGATCCGGGTGATTGATATATGACATTTTAGAAATGCCTTCTTCTCCCGGTTGTAGGCTGTGCATTCCTCCAGTAGTCTGTGCTCTCTCTTGCTCCCTAGTGATTTGTCCGGCTATATAAATTGAGAAAAAAAAATCAGAATTGATTGTTTTTTTCTGGTACGAACGCGAACGTCACATTTTTATCATATATTAGCTTCGATATGATACGAAAATCTTTTTATAGGCATGGTGGTTAAAATAATTTCGACAACAAGAAGCACTTCCATTTTTTTCCAAAATATATCGTTTCTGCGCATTAGGTCTGAACCCAGTTTAATGCAACGCTGTTGATTTAGGACTTCTTGTTGAAATCAATATGCAGAATTTTGAGAAAGTGTTTTTTTAACTATTCATCAAATTGACTTACAGCGTATAGAAATTTTCGCCAAAACAAAAATACGATCCACATACAATTCATTGGCTATCATGGTGGAATACAGTAGACTTTGTTACGAATTTAATTGAAATATTCTATTGTACATCGCATTCTACCAATCACTCAGTTCTAGGCATTTTATATATACTTGTTTTTCGCTTTCAGTTCTTACTTTGTTTGAAAATTTGCGGAATCTTGTGTTCTCCGTTTATATTGTATGTTTTGGCGCCAGTTAAAGATTAACAAATGAATGCGGTCGAAATTGTCCAATATCTTGCAAAACTATTACCGTATTTTACGGAGCATAAGGCGCATCGGGCTTTAGAATGCACTGTCAATAAATTGCTGAGGTATGGCTTTCTCCTTAGATAAGCCGTACCGGTCTATGAGGCGCAACCGGTACTGTACTGGTTTTGAGTGCAGGCAATAAAGCACTACCTGATCTATGCACTAGGCTTAAAGGACGCACGATCGATTTTCGAGAATTGAGTTCTTACAGCGCGCCTTATGGTCGTAAAATACCGGTAGTATTCAGTAGAGTTCATTTATAAAAGTACGGAGAGTTCCTTCTTTTGAAATTTAAGTTTACGGAATAGTCGGTTTACCAGTATAGAACAAAAATAAAATACTGTACTTGTTTTGTTGTAAACAACACGTCTAAAAATGAAATGAGCACTATATTTTATAAAGCAGTTGTTGCCTTTCTTTTCAGTTACAAGTACGTGTGCACACACATTTGTACAAGTATGCAGAGTAAAAGGCGAAATCACAGATTTTCAAGTAATATCAATAATATTTATTAACGTATTTACTGATTTTACTTAATTTATTCCTCAACCTGGAAAAATCAAGATTGGAATCATAACTTAAGACAATTATACATAAATAATGAAAACGAACACTTCTTATTTATTTCTCTCACCATAATAGTAGCTGAAAGTGTAAGAACGAATCTCCACACCATCTGGCACCAAATTTTGTTGAGATATTCTCACTGAATCTCCGCCATTGTTCAACATTGATACTTGGAAGGTGTGTAATGGTAGTGCGGGTTCAACATACTCCGAACTCTGGCTGTTTACGACAATTTCGCCGATTGGCAGCCCAGGGGACGTTTTCAATCGAACTTTAGACAGCCCTTTAATAACCATAAATTCTCAGCTCCAAATAGATTTCAAAATTCACCTAGGAACGGTAATTTCAATTACCGTTATTCCAACCCAAACACTTCATCTCCTAGCGGATGGTGTTTCTATCATTCGACTTTTGGTCGAAATGCTTTTAAATGCGAGCCTGGTTGTACGTTTCAGGGAAAAGGACTGGCCACTCAGTTTCGACGCTAACTAAGCGTGGCACATCTCACTCTAATAAGCGTCAATTATTTTTATACGATCCCGATTCCAATAATAAGTTTTTAATAGATTCGGGAGCTGAAATTAGTATTTTGCCATCAAGTAAATATGCCGTTCATAGGAAATGTCATAAAACTTTACAAGCAATTAATGGTACTTCAATATCTACCTTTGGTAAATTACGTTTAAATTCAACTTTTAACCACGATGTACTTTTACCGTGGTCATTTACGATAGCTGATGTGCCCATACCAATTATAGGAAATGATTTTTTAACCCATTATGGACTTCTAATTGATTTTAAAAATAAGGTTGTAATAGACCCACTTTCTCAAAACATTATAAGAACAACTACTGGTAATTTAAATTCTGTTTCCGCGTACTCATCACCTAAGAATAATAATGATGATGAATATGAAGCCTTATTAAATAAATTCCCACAGATATTGATAGAAGACTATAAGTCACCGAAGCGTAAACATAATGTTAGTCACAGAATAGTAACAACCGGATTTCCAGTTCATGCGAAACCGCGACGTCTAGCGCCATTAAAAGCAGCCGCCGTTAAAGCCCAAATTAATAAAATGTTAAACCAGGGAGTTGTATCGCCCTCTAGTGGAGAGTGGTCATCACCCATCACAGTAGTCCTTAAGAAAAATGGGGATATAAATAACCCAGACCATTATAGGCTATGCGGGGATTTTAGATTACTCAACCTACAGACAAAGAAGGATACTTATCCTATACCCCATATTCAATCTTTTACCAATGAAGTTAGGGGGTGTACTGTTTTTTCAAAAATTGACTTAAAATCGGCTTATTTTCAAATTCCGTTACACCCGGATAGTCGTGAAAAATCTGCGATTACTACGGGATTTAACAAGGTTAAATGGAACGTCATGCCCTTCGGCCTTAGCAACAGTCAGGCTAGCTTCCAGCGGTTAATAGATGATGTTACTAGGCAATTAACTAATGTATTTGCATATGTTGATGACATTCTTGTATATAGTAAAACTGTAGACGAGCATAAGCAACATTTGCATAAATTATTTAAAACTTTAAATGAATATGGCCTAGTAATTAACAGAGAAAAGAGTTCATTTGGAGTTGATAAGCTCATATTTTTAGGTTTTTTAGTTGATAAGGAGGGTATTAAACCAATGGAATCTAAAGTTAAAGCGTTAAGAGAATTTCCCTTACCTCAGACAAAACGGCAGTTACGATCGTATTTAGGCGCCTTCACGTATTATCAACGGTTTTTACCCAATTGTGCTTGTATTTTAGCTCCTTTACATAAACTAGCAGCCAATTATGTTTCTAAAAATCAGCCTGTAATATGGACAGCCGACACTAAATTAGCTTTTGAAAAGTCTAAAAATGCTCTGAGTGATTTTATTATGCTTAATCACCCGAAACCGGATGCAGAACTTTCCATAGCCGTCGACGCAAGTCTAACTGGTGTTGGCGCTATCTTACAACAAAAGATAGGAGAGCACTGGGAACCTCTCTCAGTTTTCAGCAAAGCTCTCAATACTGCCCAGCAAAAATATTCTACATTTGATCGAGAACTTCTAGCAGTTTTTCTGAGTATTCGTCACTTTCGCTACTATGTTCAAGGTCGGGAATTCTTTATTCTTTCCGATCACAAACCTCTTTCTTTTGCTCTGCACAAAAACATGGAGAGAACTTCACCTCGGCAAAGCAGACATCTAGATTTCATCAGTCAATTCACTTCTGATATCAGATATATACCTGGTTCTGCAAATATCGTAGCTGATGCTTTATCCAGATCAACAATTGCAGCGATTTCCGATCTTTCTCCTTCTCTTTCTCTTACTTCTATCGCTCAAGAGCAAAACACGGACCCAGAAATACAGGCATTGTTAAATAATCCCATGAGTTTACAATTAGACTTTGTTGATACCTCAGTTCCAGGCTTAACTTTAATTTGTGATTCTAAATTACCCAATAAGAGACCAGTTGTACCTAAGAAATTTAGGCAACAAATTTTTGACACTTTGCATAATCTTAGCCACCCTGGACTTAGAGCTACTCAACATTTAATTCAAGCTAGGTATGCATGGCCAAATATGAATTCAGATATTAGGAAAATGTGTCGAGCTTGTATCCCATGCCAGAAATCTAAAATAACTAGACATACTATTTCACCGTTACAACCTATTTTAGCTCCCAATAAAAGATTTTCAGAAGTAAATACTGATATAATTGGACCTTTGCCAGTTTCGAACGGTTATTCTTATTTATTAATTACGGTTGATAAATTTACCCGTTGGGCCGAAGTAACGCCAATGCGAGATATAACTGCCGAAACTGTCGTTAAAACTTTTCTTTTATCATGGGTAAGTAGATTTGGATCTCCAACGGTAATAACTACTGACCGGGGTGCTCAATTTAGAAGTTCTTTGTGGGACAAAATGATAAAATTTTTAGGAAGTCAGCATATATGTACTACAAGTTATCACCCTTGTAGTAATGCAACTGCTGAGCGACCCATTAGACAAATTAAAGCTTCACTTATGGCACAATGTTCAAACAACCATGAGTGGTATCAAAATTTAAGTTTAGTTTTGTTAGGGATACGTACTGCAATAAAATTAGATTTAAGTTTATCCTCGGCGGAATTAGTATACGGATCATCCTTACGTTTACCTGGGGATTTTTTTCAAACAATATAAACCAGGACTTAGAATCACCTAATGAATTTATAGCGCGTCTTAGACAATTCGTCCAAGACTTAAACCAACAAACCCAAGAATACCAGAAAATAGAAAAACCTTCATATTTAAAGAATTAAAAGATTGCACACATGTATTTTTACGTGTTGATGCAGTTAAAAAACCTTTGATACCGCCTTATATTGGTCCATTCCAAGTGTTAGAAAAACATGCAAAGTACTATAAAATAGATATTAATGGTAATCCTCAAACTGTTAGTATAGATAGAATAAAACCGGCGCATATCGAAACAGAACTAGAAATACCAACTGAGCCGAATACTGAACAGCGTTATTGTTTTTAAACAGGCCTGAACCGCCAACAACAACGCGTTCCGGCAGAACGACACGCCACAACCGCCAGCATGATTACGCTTATTATTAGTTTTCTCGTAATGTATGTATATATTCTTATGCTTTTCCTTTTAACTCCCCTAGCCCAACAGTGTCAGTGAATTTTTGTGATCCAAAAGTACCCGTAGCAGAATATGCCATACCGGAACCACCAAATTGTAAACGAAATACTATCACCCGCGTAGATTATTG